CACAATTCACCTATTTATGGCGCGTTTTACGTCAGTCAAACTTTCAAAACGAATACCCCGTAAAGGTTTTATCAAATCTATGAACGCATGATAATCACTAGGTGGAAGATCCGGGGAATAAGGTGGGTGCGGAAGAAATTCCCATCGTAAATTGTTTAAACCATCCTTCGTTTTTCTTGCGGTGTGTCGTTTTGCGTTATCCTGTTGCAATAACGGATGCTTATGCAACTTTCCAGGTCGTTTTCCGACAAACGCCTGTCGCAGTGGCCAGATATTAAATTCGAGTAACATTCTACGTTAACTGAAGTATCTTTCGCCAGATAATCCATAAAAATAATCCCTTTGCAATCCCAGAATACACTAAGTATTTCCCTTCCAACAGACGGAACTGCACGCGCCTTCAGTGGAGGCCTTCTTCAGGTTTGCATCATTGTTGGGATTGACTTTTGGTCTCAGGATTGAAATAAAGAATCCACTTTTCGTCAGTGGTTATTATTCGTTGCTAAAATTCCAAAATGCATCACCGTAACGGGCTAATAGCTCTCGAAGTTGACGACAAATGTCAGACATATTGAGTGTCTGTTCTGGTCCCAANAGAGCTTAGCCAAGAACAAGGTCTCCGATGAGATCATAAGCATCAAGTGGTTCGTTCTTCTTCACCTACAGATAACCTCCGTGCTCTGGGTCATGAGAGCGACCACCCTCAGATAAACTTTAGGAGTCATTGCCCCAGGTCAACTTAGGTCGGCGCCTCGTCCAGAGGTGGGTTGCAGCCGCCGGGAGCAGTCAAGCACAAGACATAGCCAGGATTAAGGATCTGCTCAAACAGCTGGTCCCAAATAACCACCGCAGCCGAAGCATAGGACAGCGCAGCCGACCAACAACACCAGCAAACTATCCGGATTGGCACTGGTATCATCAAAAGTTCGGTGTGGACACGGAGATGCCGCAAACCATGTACTTTCTCCTTGGGTTCGGAAAATCAGTACAGCCCCCCTCTCAGCGCCAGCCATTGACGCTCACGGCTGTTAATGCCTCGCCGATTGCCACGTCCGACAGATATACCTTGTCGCTCAATCTCAGCTTTCGACGAGTCGGAACATGGAGCTTCAACGCCGCACATACCCAGATCGTCATTATCGGTGGCGATTTCTTGGTTCACTTCAAATGTCTCGCCGACGTCTTGGGTAAGCAACTGATCGACCCGACAACTAACCATTCCTCGCTCGAATCTCTAGCGCCTGCAGTCATCCACAGCGTGTCAATGGTTATAGCACCAGCTACCTGAGTCGTCGCCACGCGTATCTCCCTGCAGAGGAGACCTCTATTCTCTGAAGGCCACCACGGTGGCACTTCTGAACCTGACTTAAGCCTCTGCTCGACTACCCTCGCTTTGCCCTGCACCCGCTGATCATTGACGGCCACCGCATACAATACGACATTTCTGCAGAGAACGTGAGGCCGTACTTACCCGAGAAGCTCCCCAAGACCGCCTTCGAAGTTTTACATAACCTCTTGCATCCTAGTGTGAGAGCAACGGTAGACTTCGTCGCCAAGAAATTCACACGGCCCAAGAAGCGCAGCGACCCTTTAGGCCAAAAATCCGAACTCCTAGGTTCATAGGCACAATCGCACAGCTCTGGGCAACTTCGACACGCCGGACAGTCGTTTCGACCACATCCACGTAGACTTGGTGAAACTTCCACTTTCCAGTACTGCATGACTACCATAGACAGGTTCAGCAGATGGCCCGCCAACGTTCCCATACCTGCAGATTTAGACCGTCGCCAGAGCTTTATACAACAACTGGATCACCTGTTTCGGAACGCCTCTCACATTGGACCAGGGGTATAGTTTGAGGCAGCCTCTTCACAGAGCCAAGATGATCGGCGCTCAAAGTGCTCGGTGTATTCTTCGGTGCAGAGCCACTCGTTCGCCAACCCACCCTCCTTTCCCTATGGTCTACGCCGACTCACCCAGGCCCTCAAGCCGATCTGAGAGATTTCGCACATCTTCCGATGCATCGATGCTGTCCAGAACCCTGTCGACCCTCCTTACATGGGGCCGTACAAGGTGATCCTGCGGAAAGACGATCACAACTATACAATCAAGGTCAAGGGACATTCATGCATTTTCTCTACGGACACGCTGAAGCCTACCGACGTGCCGACCACCAGAATCAGCCTCGGTCTTCTCCGTGTATGATAAGGCTCCGCGACCAGAGTCCTCTAATTCACCATCAACTGTACTGCCGATGCCTCCTTCCGCCTCGCCGCCCACCTAGCTCACACCCGGACCATCAACTCAACTCGACAAGGGCAAGAAACGAGTTTGGTTGTGTCCGCTTCAGGAGTCCCTGTGTCGCCAGTCGCTGGCCGAAGCCGAAATCAAACTTCGCATCACAAAAAACAACTCGCCATCTCTCTCCAACAAGTTCTCTGCAATGCCGATCTTTTATAAGCGAGCGACGACTCGATCCGACTAAACAAGTTACTGAATTTTATTTGCAACAATAAATGTGTTTGGTAACCGCTGACTTCTTATTCAATAACCTGGCACGCTACCTCCGTCATCCTTAGACATTGGTTCACCCGCGACAATTCCCAAAGATACGCCAAATTCGAAGTCTGCAGAAACGTATTTTGTCAGTTATTAATGTATATTTAGTGGATGTGCCATGACTTATGGCTATAGTGAATAAAAATTGAAATTGCTAAGTTAGAATCTAAGAAATATGTGAAAATGTACAGTAAGCGAGTCTTTTAAAACATATGACCTCCTATTGTACCTGCTGGAGGGTGGATGTAACTAATAAGCATTCATTGCACTAGTCAAATTTATGTTAGAATAAATATCATTCACGTTATATAGTCCTGTGTTCATTATCTCCATCATCCTTTGAGCACCGAAAATTGATTATGATGTGATAGTGCCTCGCGAATAGTGGTCAGTGAGAGTGCAATTTACAATAGGCCACGGTCGACGTCGTTCACACCCGGGTGCTTATCTCTCTTCTCACTGTCGTCGTCGCCTCGGTTAGATAGTCGGGATAGTGCTGGTGCCCGTGACTAACCTAAAAAAACCCTAACCTAGAAACAAGACATTAAAAGTAAAGCGACCTTCAAGTTCGCGCTCGTTCTCACCGCTATCTTGATTCACACGTCGAGCATCGCAGAGACGAGTGCTCACGTGCGCGTCAGATTGTTCTTTCTTATAAGCTTGAGTCACAGTGTGTGATTTCCACCCACTCGCCCTCGGATTAGACTACGACAGAGCGGTGCAGCCAAGAGGAAGCTCAACGCCATTAACATTTTCTCTTTGTTCTCGCTGCCTCTAATTAGACCCGTGTTGGCAGTGTCCTAGGCATTGTTGTTCCGTTTCTATCTCCGTGTCTCGGTGATGAGCCAACGACCCGCCGAGCGCTACATGCTTACCAACGTAGGCATCTCCGCTTCTTCGACTCTTGAAAATGCTGACGAGAAGACGACACCGCGCAAGAAGCGGAAGCACAGCACAGAATAGGAGCAGCTGCAGCAAGCCCAGTCAGCCGTGTAGCGACAGCAGCAGAGGTCGATCAAGGTGCATCGGCACAGACGGCCTCGGCTCAGCATCAGACCAACGGGATAACCGCCGACCGGGCCAAGTATCTCGCCGTCGTCACTGCCCTGGAGGATCTAGCAGTCACCGTATGCTCATAAACCCAGCAGCGGAGAATCAATACAAGCACCTAAAAGACCTTAGTCGAGACTGCTCCGACGTCCAGCTGTGAAAGCTATTCGGTTGGCCGACTTAAAGCCGTCCCAGCTCCTCCACCAGATGAAGAGCTTAGCCAAGAACAAGGTCTCCGATGAGATCATAAGCATCAAGTGGTTCGTTCTTCTTCACCTACAGATAACCTCCGTGCTCTGGGTCATGAGAGCGACCGCCCTCAGATAAACTTTAGGAATCATTGCCCCAGGTCAACTAGGTCGGCGCCTCGTCCAGAGGTGGGTTGCAGCCGCCGGGAGCAGTCAAGCACAAGACATAGCCAGGATTAAGGATCTGCTCAAACAGCTGGTCCCAAATAACCACCGCAGCCGAAGCATAGGACAGCGCAGCCGACCAACAACACCAGCAAACTATCCGGATTGGCACTGGTATCATCAAAAGTTCGGTGTGGACACGGAGATGCCGCAAACCATGTACTTTCTCCTTGGGTTCGGAAAATCAGTACAGCCCCCCTCTCAGCGCCAGCCATTGACGCTCACGGCTGTTAATGCCTCGCCGATTGCCACGTCCGACAGATATACCTTGTCGCTCAATCTCAGCTTTCGACGAGTCGGAACATGGAGCTTCAACGCCGCACATACCCAGATCGTCATTATCGGTGGCGATTTCTTGGTTCACTTCAAATGTCTCGCCGACGTCTTGGGTAAGCAACTGATCGACCCGACAACTAACCATTCCTCGCTCGAATCTCTAGCGCCTGCAGTCATCCACAGCGTGTCAATGGTTATAGCACCAGCTACCTGAGTCGTCGCCACGCGTATCTCCCTGCAGAGGAGACCTCTATTCTCTGAAGGCCACCACGGTGGCACTTCTGAACCTGACTTAAGCCTCTGCTCGACTACCCTCGCTTTGCCCTGCACCCGCTGATCATTGACGGCCACCGCATACAATACGACATTTCTGCAGAGAACGTGAGGCCGTACTTACCCGAGAAGCTCCCCAAGACCGCCTTCGAAGTTTTACATAACCTCTTGCATCCTAGTGTGAGAGCAACGGTAGACTTCGTCGCCAAGAAATTCACACGGCCCAAGAAGCGCAGCGACCCTTTAGGCCAAAAATCCGAACTCCTAGGTTCATAGGCACAATCGCACAGCTCTGGGCAACTTCGACACGCCGGACAGTCGTTTCGACCACATCCACGTAGACTTGGTGAAACTTCCACTTTCCAGTACTGCATGACTACCATAGACAGGTTCAGCAGATGGCCCGCCAACGTTCCCATACCTGCAGATTTAGACCGTCGCCAGAGCTTTATACAACAACTGGATCACCTGTTTCGGAACGCCTCTCACATTGGACCAGGGGTATAGTTTGAGGCAGCCTCTTCACAGAGCCAAGATGATCGGCGCTCAAAGTGCTCGGTGTATTCTTCGGTGCAGAGCCACTCGTTCGCCAACCCACCCTCCTTTCCCTATGGTCTACNTGGCAAAGGTAAAGTAAAAGTCAAGAAACTGAAAATTCTTCTAATAAATATTATAGATATTACCAAGAACGTTTTCCAACATTACCTAATACAAATTATGTATGTAATCAATACATAAGACATCCTAAAAATTCCAAACCCAGTTGTACAGTCCTAAACATAATGATTACAAGGATGTAAGAATTAATCTATTAAATAAAAAGTTTAGAGATCATGAAATCAGATAGCAGACCATTTTTACTTCGGTATTACGCTACCTACGAACAACACAGATTGTTTTATTCTTTAACACAGGGAAGTAACAATATTTAGCGTAACCTTACAGAAAGACGAAATCACTTTCCTCCCACCTACACGAATTCCACCAGGTAAGGCAACGAATCGTATATTCATACAGAGTTAAGTTGTCTGTTGAGTTATTATTTATTGTAAACAAATTAGAATTTATGACACTGTAAAATAGTTGATCATTTATCTAGTTTCTATAGATTTCCTAACTAACAATTTTGAGTTATATAAAAACTACAAGAACGTTAATAAAACATATTTTATACAAGAATATTTCATATAAACACCTATACGACACCTGTAAATGCAAACTGGCTACAGACCTATAAAGCATTTTAGTTTTTTAACAGATTAGGTAACACCTGTACTGACTTATATACGATAATTATATATAGGTTTTACAGAATCAATATCAAACAATTTTACAAAAGCTGTCTACTGTGCACTTGCAATAGGATGTTTTTACGAGGGATGTTTCCAAAGTTCTGGGAATTTAGTCATAACTTTTATTATTTTGTTAATTTTCATCAATATTGTAAAGTAGTTTTTCAACATAATCTCCATTTAACTGAATACATTTATCCCAACGATAAATTAATTTTTTTAAGCCGTCCTCAAAAAACTTTATCGGTGTCTCCTCAATCCATCTATTTATGGCACGTTTTACGTAGCCCGTATGGGTTTTTCAAATCTGGAAACAGGTGGTAATCACGATCCGAGGAGTAAGATGGGTACAGAAGCAATTCCCATCGTAAATCCTTCAAAACATCCTTCATTTTTCTTGCGGTGTATGGTCTTGCAGTACGCTGTTGCAATAACGGATGTTTATGCAACTTTCCAGGTCGTTTTCCGACAAACGCCTGTCGCAGTGGCCAGATATTAAATTCGAGTAACATTCTTCGTTAACTGTAGTATCTTTCGCCAGATAATCCATAAAAATAATCCCTTCGCAATCCCAGAATACACNAACAAGAGTTGAGATTATAATGAGCTTTTTTCTCCCTATCTACAAGACATTGGAAGGGGCATATCGCTAGAGAAGGTAAACAAAGTATATGTAGGTATGTATTAAAGTCAAAAGTGTACTTTTGTTGGTATTGTTTTTAAAACGTACTCACCTTTACGTAAGTTTTTATATATCGCATGCAGCAATCAATACATTTTTCAAACATTTTAATACCACTCCGTATTTTCTTTTCCTTGAATACAATGCTAAAGTCGATAAAATCTATGCATTGCTGTATTATCTGGTTGCTGAGCATCCAAAATAAACCGCTAACCTTTTCTCTAGTATTATAATACTCGCTATTTATCCAAATAAATCGGAAAGTATGCAAAATTGGCTCTAATTTATTAGGAATATCCGATGGATCCTTAAGCAAACGAAGATCCTCACATGGTCTTACAATAATCTGTAATAATGTCTCAGATAAATAGCTTGCAAATAACTGCATCTATCTAATGAGTTAATTACGTAAATATAAAATTTACAAAAAAGATTCTAAAAATTGTACTGTAGAAATACGCAGGAGACTCATATTTTATACCTGTAAATATTCAATATTCGACTTAGCTTCTGCTAAATTCGCATCTATCTCTTCCGATAGTGATGTGAATTGTTTGACATATGAGGATTGCACTGCATTTAATAAAAAGCAAATTTTTTTAAGACTTGGCAAATTTGTTTGAAATACAATTAAACTTAGATTTTCATCTGAAATGTAAAGAAAGATATATTATTCGATTTGATAAACGATAGAAAGATTTTTATTTATTCATTAATGTCGACAATAGAAATTGCAAATAATATCAGTAGTAATGCTCGATAATGAACAAGTACTGTGCTCAAGTTAAGACTTAAAAAATTTATAAATTATTATTAATAATTATATCTTAACAGAATTGACCAAAAAAAATCCCATCTCTATAGTACATTGTCACATGTATATAGGCTACCCAACATGCATAGTGACAAAAAAGAACAGTTTTCTAGACGGAATATATTGGAACATTCTGGAACGCGACCAGTCTCTATAAATAATTGTCGGGAAGTCGAGTAGGAATAGTACGAGAACGAGGAAGAACGGGAAGAAGATGGAGCGAAGAAGTAACAAAGTGTTCTCTTTTCAATTTATATTTAATACTTTTTGCACATACATAACAATATAACACTCAGGCCACAGTAAGTAATACCTATTGAAACTATCACATTTGAATCATAAACGTTTCATAAGCATCCTTTTAGAAATAAAATTGCATTTATTTCAATTATTTAGTTATATAAAGGTGTTACTTAAGCTTAATTGAATATGAATCTTTTCGGCTTCCACGTTACTTACGTTATTTTGCAGTTTTCTTATTTGAAGTAAAATTATTTTATTAAAAACGTTAACGAAACTGTTTTCTAATTCTTTTATGTGACGCTATAAAACTGCTATAAGAGCCTTGGAGAGTATAAATAAGTATCAGTAGACACTTTTATAAATCGACTGAATTATACTAGCTAAATTGTTATATACAAGTTATAAACGTTTATGAAATGGTCCGAAATTTATCGTAAAAGATATTTTATAATTTTGTTTCAAGAATGTTCTTAAAAGTGTTTTAAATGGTGGTATAGCTCTGAACTTANACCGTAACGGGCTAATAGCTCTCGAAGTTGACGACAAATGTCAGACATATTGAGTGTCTGTTCTAGTCCCAACAGCCTTGCCACTCAACGCGCCGAAACCTTACTAACGCCCAAACAATCATGCAAGATGTCATGAACTCGTAGTGTACCTTTCCCTAGAATCACACTAATTTGACGAATAGTCATTCGCCTGTCCTCTTTCAGTGTTTCAGTAGGTCTTCGACAGCAGTAATGTTTCTTTCATTTACCGACGTACTTGGGCACTCACTGCGTAGATCGTCTCCTACTGATGTTCTACCGGTTTTAAAACGATCGATCCACCGACAAACAGTACTTTTGTATTCTTCAGACTCACCAAATACTCCTTGCGGACGCTGAATTCTTATGTTTCCACACCTTCTTTCCACAAAAAGAAAATTATTGTTCTTTGAGATTTTGCTACGTCTTCCATGGTTACAAGAAAAGTTAAAATTAATGTTAAAACACATCTGACACTTTTTTATAATAATTAGGGCTTACATCTGTATTTCCAAAATTCGTATTCTTCAACAGGGCAGATCATTTCATTAGTACTGCCCTGTTCGAGATCTTGTAAACTGAGTCTTATTTGTCTCGTCCAGTAAACGACAACACTATCGAGCCGCTTAATGAGTTCTTTATCCCGGGACCCGACGTCAATGTCAATGTCATCAGCCTCAGTTGGTATATACAAAATACACAGTCCGTACATTCTGTAATGCTGGTCGGTTAATCGTGCCAAATAGGTATGCATCTTAGAAAAGATGTCAGTTCTTATAGCTAAGTATTGTTGAGGAAATTCATTTTCATCCCAATTGAAAAATTCATCCACAAGACTAACTAAACGGTAGATAGGTGCCTACACACTTTGTCTAAAAAGGATACTGTCCGGCCATGATTCTTGTTTCAGAAATATTGGTAAATAAAATAGCTCAATATGCCTAAGGATAGAACCTTCCACTTTATAATCTACGGTGCCAAAGTGAATCTTATCGTGAAATGTGTCAACCTGAAATATTTCTCCAGGATCTCTATAAAAGAACATTAAATCGTCGAAGATACACTCCGGGTAATTCAAAGAGCAAAGCAGATTATGTTCGTCGAAGCAGACGGTCAGTGTCATGTTAGATACGTAATAAAAGAAGTTTTTAATCACTTCTTTATTTGCTTCTGTCCAATCATCATCACGCAAATCGTATAACGTTGTCATTTTCATAATAAACGACACTAGTTTATCAATTTCTTCCGGTGAGTATTCCACCTGTTTTTCTTTCTCTTCATCATCTGGTATTATGATCCTTACAGTCTTTTCTAAAATATCAAGGAGGTTTACGCTAAATGCGTATGTTGCAAAAACTAAATAAGTACGAATTAATAATAATTCATAAACGATTTTTCAATAGTGAATATTAATATTTTATAATCCTAAAAATTGTCATTACATTATCATAAATAGCGTATAGGTTAGTTCATCTTCTACTTTAAACATCGGTGTTATTTCTTCTGAATTTGTTTACTGTATACTGAAAACTGACTTTGGAAATTAATAAGAAACTATCTAATTTATTGTTTAATACTTTATATAAATGAAATAACTCCCGATATTCTCTGGTTAGCTCGCATTTCCCTAAAACTAGAACAACCCATATCCTTAACTATTTGCGAACAGTGATCTAATCTAGGTCTACCTCTACCCCGCCTAACTCCTGTTTCTGCCTCTAATATGTCTCTGACTAGACCTTTATGCCTGAGAAGGTGCCCTACTAACCTATCTCGTCTATTTCTTATTGACTTCCATAGAGTCCTCTGTTATCTTACTCTTTCTAATACCTCTTCATTTCTAACCTTCTGTAACACCACATTTCGAACGCTTCTAACCTTCTCTTTTCCGCCGCGCCCACTGTCCATGTTTCGCACCCGTACAACGCCGCGCTCCAAACATACACCTTTAACAACCTTTTTCGAAATTNCGGGAAAAAACGAAATGACTTTCCGAACAACCCTATATATGTAATTATAAAATTCGTGAAAATATATTTCGCAAAAATATTATGTATTTTTAATCTACAAATAGTATTATAGATAGGTCACCTGAACTAGACTAAGACAAGTCCCAGAAAGAGAGCAGCAGCTCTTTCAGTACTCGGATCGGTATGGCACTCTGATGCACAATACTGCGATGTGGAAGGCAACGGGAGACCACCACCACATTATGATATCCTAAGAAAAACAAACCCAACTCAAATGATGGGTAAAGCACTTCGGACGTAAACTAGTCCACCTCGGGGTATATCATCAATTAGTGCAATAGGGGTAGGTGCAATATTTCAGGAGTCGGAGCGTGGAATGTTAGGACAATGAGGCAAGTAGGGAAATTAGAAAATTTGAATGAGGTGTTACAGGCGAATGATAAGGATACCGTGGATAGAGAAGGTTGGAAATGAAGAGGTATTAGAAAGAGTAAGAGAACAGAGGATTCTATGGAGGTCAATAAGAAATAGACCAGATAGGTTGTAGGACACCTTCTCAGGCATGAAGGTCTAGTCAGAGACATTTTAGAGACGGAAACGGGAGTTAGGAGGGGTAGAGGTAGACCTAGATTAGATTACTGTTCGCAAATAGTTAAGGATATGGGTTGTTCTAGTTTTAGCGAAATGCGAAGATTAGCGCAGGATAGGAAAGAGTGGAAGTGCGTGTCCAACCAGTCTCAGGACTGACGACCTTATGATGATGATGAGGTCACCTATATACATTCACAAAAAATATATAAAATAATGTATATTTGGTCGTTTAGAAATATACTTAGTGCGGCACGACACAATAACAAAAATGCACATACGTGTAGTGTACATTTCTAAGGGTTTATAAAAGGTTGCCGGAATGTGAGCAAGGGAACAGAGGGTTCTAGTTTGGTGTTATTCGATGAAATACCCGAAAAATGGATGAAAAGGATGACCGTGACTACTATAATCCACATAAAAATGTGTAAGTGAACATGATATAGGAAAGGATCACTTTCTGTAGTTAGGTAAGAGCGTGAACTTTCGGATAACACCAAGTGAGGGAGAGTACACAATAGGATAGGTAACGAATTTAAAAAAAGTAGAACAGTTTGAAAGCAAAGCTATAAGTTTAAAATATACAATAGAATCTGAGAACTCCGAAAAGAGCATTATTAACAATATAATTTTTTTTGTTGCATATGTTCGGGGGCCGGATTGAAAAGCATCTTAGAAATTTTTACGGGCCGTAGGTTGCCCATTCGTGATCTAGAGCAGCGGTTCCTAAATGATGTTTCGCGGAACCATGATGTTCCGTGAAAGGACGCAAGGGTTCCGCGATATACGACGTCTTTGTCCTAATAAAAATATATAAAATTCTCTGAAAAATAACCGTTCTGCATTTAACTACAAAAACGGCATATTTGAATGTATCGAACAAAAAAGTTTTGAAATTTTTTCCTCTTCTAAACAGATTTCTTGAAGAACATGAGTTACAAGTAACTTCAAATGTGGATAAAACCATAAATGAACATCCGTTAAACCTAAAAATACTTAAAAGAATAGTTTGCAAAGGAGTTACAAGACAGCTACTGAGTTAACTATGTCGGAGTATGAGAACTTGATCGATTTTAGTAAAACACTAAAACAAAAATTCAAATCAGCTGATTCAAATTTGAATAACGTTTAGATCGAACTTACAGATGAATCCCCTGCAGTGGTTAAGAACATTATTATGGTCAGTTCACTTTTTGCCGATATGAGGTTCCGCCAAAATAGGGTAGGTCAAAAAGGATTAGTATTTTTTTTGTTTCTGTAAGTACATTCAACAGAACTGGAGAAATTAATCGTTAACAATGACTGTTTGATCGCCGAAAACTGAATTCAAATTTTTCGACGTTAAATAACGAAGAAACGACGAATTTTGGGAGAAAACATCAACATTGTTTGTAGTGCTTGGAATGACCTTAAAAATAAGCTCTGCTAGAAGCCACTGGCATCAAAAATAACGGCGTTATAACAAAAACAATATGGTTGTCTCCTTTTTCCGAACAAAAAAATATTTACAGAAAGAACTGAAAGTAAACGAAATCTATGTAGAATTAACTTCATTATGCTTTAGAATGATGCTTTAGAATGTTTATTTTTAAATATAAGTTTAATTTATGTAAAACAAAATCGAGATTTCTAAAAAAGAATTATTTTTGTTCCCCATTAATTAAAAACGATACAGTATACTGAAAAAATATATCTGTACATAATTGTAAGGTTTTCTTTGCACAAAATTTGGTTATTTTTTAATTTTTTTACGATTAATATTACTCGAGATATGTTCGTTGTATCTTACTCTGAGAGCCACATTTTCCGAGCTACTTAAACCTTTAAATCTCAAAAAGTAAGGGTTCGAGACAGTTGAAACTTACAGGCCTTGTAGTCCTTGAAATTACCTGCAAATTAAATTCTTGTGCGATTGGATATCTGTAAAATTGAGGCAGTTACAGATAGAAAACCGATCGAGTTTCTACACATTTTGTAATAAAGGGTAGTTCTTATAAGTTCAGATATTGCAATAAAGTAAATAAAATATTATTAACAAAAAGGGGACTTTCATATATTATAAATGTACCATCAAAGAAATTGAAACTGTTTACACTAATTTTTTATGGGTATTCGCGATTGAGGGTAGCTTTTAAGGATTGAAAAATTCAAATTACTCATAATTTACATATCAGTATATTACAGAAAGGTTACTGTACATATTGGAACTATTTTGTCGAAGTAACGCTTAAACGTAATGTTTTTCAATTTTTTAGTCAAAATGGGTTGTTGTCACTGCTTCGTTTTAATTTAGATTTCATTATGAATTTGAATGTATATTTATTTTCTATTTCTCTATCTTCTTTGTACATTATTTTTTACTTTTACATGTAATACATGAAATACTGGTATGCAAGGGAAGAAAAAGTAGGGAAAGAACGAATGAAAGAGTAGGAGACGAAAGATTAGAAGAAGTGGATGATTTGAGGTATCTAGGAAGTCAGATAAGTCAAGACAGAAGGAGTAGTAGGGATATAAAGCAGACAATAGTCTAATAAAAAGAAGTCACTCCTATGCTCGTGGACGGTTAATTTAGAAATTCGAAGAAGATTATTAAAGGTGTATGTTTGGAGCGCGGCGCTGTACGAGAGAGATAAAGAAGGTTATAAATGAAGAGGTATTAGAAAGAATAGGTGAACAGAGGATAAGTTAATAAGAAATAGGCGAGATAGTTTGGACACCTTCTTAGGCATGAAGGTCTAGTCAGAGACATATTAGAGCCAGAAACAGGAGTTAGGAAGGGTAGTGGTAGACCTAGATTAGATTACTGTTCGCAAACAGTTAAGGATGTCGTATGTTCTAGTTTTAGGGAAATGTGAAGATTAGCTCAGGATAGGAAAGAGTGGAGGTACCTGTCTAATCGGTCTTAGGACTGACAACCTTATGATAATGAATAACTAAAGCTGGCACACAAAGGTACAGGCCTAACGCTGGAAGCTGGCGGAAATTTTAAAATAGCGTGGATGCGCGGCGGCAAAAGTAGGCAGTTTTAGGTATAAAGATTGCAGCCCTCATTCTTCAGTATTTCTAACAGGGGCGTAGATTAAATTTTTAAAAGCAGGGATCAGTGAGTAAGTAATAGACATACAAACAGAAGAACTAATTGTTAATGTTGGTGACAGTGATAGAGATTCCCATGATGACAGTGAATGTGAAAACTAACTATAAAACAAAAGCAATAGGTTAATTTTTTCTTTTTGATAAGTCATGTTTTTACATTATATTCTAGTACGCTACTGTCCTATCAGTATTAATACTATAATTTACGCCTACTGAAAGCTTATTTGTGTATCGGTTCCAAGTGACTTACCCAAATAGGTCATAAATGGGCAAGTACCTGCGCGACTGCTCGCCAGCTTCCTTCGTCAGACCTGTATGTGCGTAGCAATTACGCTGGTGAAGATCTCACACTCATCCCTTAACACATTCACTGTTCACACAGCCCCATTCATCTCACATTGAGACACCCGTGAGGCATTCTTATGTAGTGCTGATACAACACAGCATAGAATTGCCTGGCCAGTTGGGTTTTGAGCGGTAATACGTTCGAGCATGTCAATAAGGTTAATTCTATTGGAAATATAGTTTGGGTCGCCCAAATTTGTTTTACTGTTATTGTAATAATTATAAAAAGGTTGGTACAGCACATTTAGCGTTTTTTCAGTCAAGCGTTTTTTAATTAACGAATTATTGCCAAGTAATTGTTTTTCGTACAAAAGGTTTTGTTGCCCGCCCCAGAGGCGTTAATGGGCTTACAACGCACATTTGGTTATTGCTGTTTATACTGTAATGTTCGTGGGTTTAACAAATTAACTTTTAAGAAGAAAACTATTTATTTACACTAATTGTTATTGAAGGACTTAAAAACACTATTAACTTATTACTACTTCGGTAATTATTCTATTTATTTACAGTACTGTTACTATTCACTGTCCTATTTATTTCACTTGTATCACTTTCAATTTATCCCTTGATTCACCTCTGCAACGGTCAATTTATTTCTACTCTACTTCGGCGATCGTCTCTTCCTTTTTATACTCCCTTGCCTCCTTTCGGGAACGTTCTTCAGCCTTCCAGAGAAGTCTCGTTTTCTTTGAACGGTTTAATTGCTTTCTCGGAACGCAGGTACGACACACACGTCTACAGATACGGCGCACATGAAAAAAGCGCTCGCGGCTAGTCAGCGAATCGATAAGCCGCTCACACACACGTATGCCCGATCGCACACAATCACGCTCGCGGTCGCTACAATACCTTCACAGACAAAATGGAAAACACACCAGGACCATCTAAAAGAATTAATTCTGATATATCTAATAGAGGCACGCTGACGGATGAACATTTGCCATTATTTTGAACGAGTCAGACACTGAACTAGACACATTTAGTGATGACAGCGATGATGATCCGGATTATACAAATCCGAGTGATTTTAGTGACTCTGAGGATGAAGTGACTACTTCATCTCAACTTTCACCTTCTTTGCGTCAATCTAACAACAGGGCCCTCGACTTCAAATCGTTCTCCGTCTTCGGGTTGGACTTATGATGAAGTTCAAAGTAAACAATTCCCTTTTACAATGAAGACTGGCTTGCTTGTGGATGTAGACGGTCTAAAAGATCCTATAGATTATATTTTTGTCTCTTATCGACAGATGTGTTTTCTGATATGATTTGCACGCAGGCCAACCAACACGCAATTGATCTTATTTCAGAAGGTCTTGGAGAATAACCAAGAATTACTCGATGGACTGATGTGACGCTCGTTGAAATGAAAAAGTTTTTAGGGTGTATTTTTCATATAGGAACAATTTTTACTTAGTTTACGGACCTTACAATTTAAAAGCACAGAAGCTTAAGAGCCCCAAACTCAAATTGGAAAAATTATGCCTTTGATAAATTTTTTTAATAATGTAATGAATGAAATTTATTATCCAACGAGGAAATTATCTATCGACAAGTCGATAGTATTATAGCGAGGCCGATTAACATTTCGGCAGTATGTGAAAGGAAAAAGACATAAGTTTAGGATCAAATTTTATACCTTTCGCAAACCCAACGGCGTGGTGCTGAAAGTAATTGTCTATGTGAAATCGGTCGATGCTGAGTTATCGGGTGGCCAGCATACAGAAAAAAGAAATATGTACTAGGACACATAGTGAAAGTGAAAAACGAATCGCAAAAAAAATTTTACTTGAAGTTTTACGGGCAGGTTTTCCAATTGAACAAGTACATTAACAATCTGCCCGTAAAACTTAAAGTAAAAATTTTATTGCGATTCGTTTTTCCACTTGTCCGTTGCCATTCGTTTTCCACTTGTCCGTTGAAGTTTCACTTCTACTATGTGTCCTAGCACACATTATGTTTTCAAAGGTTTACTGCAAATTGTGATTTTTATTTATTAATACGTTTTTTACACAAACCGCAAATAGAGGCAATGATGCCCAGCCATATGGAGAGCAGAGGTAAGAAAACAACAGGTGAGCACGTGAGCATAGCACACGCCGCCGGGACTCTAGCGGACTCCCCATTCTCTGCGCTGCCGCCTCTCACCAAGCAATATATCATTTACCCCCTCCACGCAGCCGCGACGCTTGTTCGTAACAGAAAAAATCGAAGAAAAACTAATATGTCACTTCAAATCGGTAAGACTGTCTTTGACCATCGAGTGCTTGTGACAGATATTGAAGATGACGAAATTCTTGGGCTGGACGTTTTACAAAAATACGATTTTAACATGAATTTAAGAATACGCGTTCTGAGACTGAATGGCGAAGAATTCTATTTCATCAAAGATAGACAGGAGGCTGTAATCCGAAAGGTAAATTCTGAAACAGTACCTGTTGAAATAAGTGGAGTGATGGACAGACATTGTAGGAATCTAACCAGTGAGCAGAAATGCAAAGTGCAAGATCTACTTTGTCAGAATGCCGACGTTTTTGAGACTGACAAGAATGGTAGGGGAAGGACCAATACCGTAAAACACAAGATCAATACCAGAAATGCGCAGCCTATTCGTCAAAGACCTAGACGATTACCCCTGGCCAAATAGGAAAAAGCAGAGCGAATAATCCACGAAATGCAGGAGACCGGCATAACTGAGCCATCCTCAGTCCATGGACATCACCGGTAGTACTGGAAAAGAAGAAGGATGGAACAACCCGTTTTTGTGTGGATTACCGCCAGTTCAACAACGTAACTAAGAAAGATAGTTATTCACTGCCACGGACTGATGACACCTTGAATATGCTTTCTGGTTTGAAAATGTTTTCCACACTCGATTTGAAGAGCGGATACTAGCAAGTTGCTTTAGATGCTACCGACAGGGAAAATACCGCATTCTCGATCGGCACGGGCCTAATGCAGTTTACAGTTATGCCTTTCGGGTTATGCAATGCCCCGGCGATGTTCGAAAGGTTGATGGAGAAAATCTTGAGTGATCATATTAGAAACACCTGTTTGGTATACTTAGATGGAATCATAGTGATTGGAAGCGCCTTTAATGAATACCTGCAGAATTTACAAGTGGTATTCCAGCGGTTACGTGGGACTAATTTCAAACTCAGTCCGAAAAAGTACCACCTTTTCTGCGAAGAAGTTTCTTACTTGAGACATATTGTATCAGCGAAGGGCGTGGCCGTGGATCCAGGTAAGATAAAGGAATGGGCAGTACCTAAAAATGTCCAGGACAGAAGAAGCTTCTTGGGATTGTGTACGTACTATCGTCGCTAAATTTATAGATTCGCCAATATCGTCAAACCTTTGACACATTTAACCGAAAATGACCGCAAATTTTATTGGGATTCGGATTGCCAAACGGCATTTGAGACTTTGAAGCAGACTTTAATCGCAGCCCCCGTACTGGTATATCCTCGGCCCAATAGAATTTTGGACACCTACGCCAGCGATGTGGGAATGGGAGCCGTTCTTTCGCAGTTACAAGATGGCCCAGAGAAAGTAATCGGCAATTTAGCAAGACCTTATCAAAAGCCGAAAGAAACTACTGTGTCACCAGGCGAGAGATGCTGGCTGTAGTCAAAGGTGTAGAACATTTTCATAAATACCTATATGGACGAAAATTCATCCTACGCACCGATCATGCAGTTTTAAAGTGGCTTCTGAATTTCAAGAATCCGAAGGCTAGGTAGCTCGATGGATTGAGAAGCTACAGGAATATGATTTTGACGTAGAGCACCGGCCTGGAACCGGACACAAGAATGCTGATGCACTTTCCAGAAGATCTTGTCAAACAGACTGCAAGCAGTGTGATCGAATGGAAAAGAACGAAGAGGCAATTCGACGCGTCACGGTAATCAATGACGAGTGGTTACCTGAAAATATAAAACACGACCAAGAAAAGACCCGGACTTGAAGAAGGTGATGGAATGGAAAAGAGACGGTAAACGACCAACGTGGCAGCAAATTTGTTCCTGTACCCAAGTACTAAAATCGTTATGGGCTCAGTGGGACACAATGGTTTTGGAAGAAGGCATCCTGAGGCGTGTTGTTAAAAGTCCAGCTGGAGAGGAAGATAGGAAACAACTGGTTATTCCTTGAAACAAGGTTAGAGAGGTTTTGCATGTCATGTTGGATCATCGGTTGACCATTTTGGAGTGAATAAAACGCTTGGGAGTAATGGACCACAGAAAAAGCCAAGGGCGCCAATGCGTTATTACAATGTCGGTGGCCCCTTCGAACGAATCGCAATCGATGTGGCGGGTCCATTCCCAGAGTCCTAGAAAGGTAACAAGTACATCTTGGACTATTTTACCAAGTGGCTTGAAGCCTATGCCCTCCCGAACCAGGAGTCGGAAACCATAGTTGAGGAGCTGGTGAAAGAGTTGATCAGTCGTTTTGGGGTGCCCTTGGAGTTGCAGCCAGACCAAGAGATGAATTTCCAATCGGCTATATTCCGTGGAATATGCGAACTCCTAGGAATAAAGAAAACTCGAATTACTCCACTCCATCCACAATCGGACGGCATGGTTGAGCGAATGAAGCGGACCGTGATTAAATATCTCTCCAAGGTAGTATTTGATCACCAAAGGGACTGGGACCGCTATTTGCCTTTATTTTTAACTGCATACCGTTCATCTGTCTACGAAACGACTGGCCAAACACCTGCCAGTGTTCTTTTTGGAAGGGAGTTACGACTACCTTGTGACCTCAAATTCGGCTGTAAGCCAGGAGATGACTTGGCTGGAGAAGATTATGTTACCAACCTCCGAAAAAACCTAAACGATATCCACGAGTCGGTTGGTCTGCATACGCAGATTGCTAGTGACAGGATTAAAGGAAAGTACAATATCAAGGCTACAGCAGGTGGTTACCAAACTGTAGATCTTGTTTGGTTGTATAATCCTCGTCGTCAAATGAAGAGGAGGCGCGGGCCAGATTATTAAGAACTATTCCTTCCGAGCCCACATTCGAAGAGATCATGAAAGAAGGTCCCCATGTTAACAGGAGATTTGGAGTGACGCAAGAAATCCGACGAGACCTCTTTTCTATATCCAAGGAATATTCTCTGGCCAATTGCGTTTCAAAAGATTTCAGAATGAGCCGTGGTATCGCGTCCGAGTTCAAACGCAGCTTTGGCGGTTTGAAACATCTTGAAGACCAAATACAGAAGGAAAGAAGACTGTTGTGCTTGCCTGACGGACGACGCAATATCTATTATCTAGTAACTGAAGGAAGATGCTCTGATAAACCAACTTATAGAGACCTTTGGGACGCAGTAATGAAACTCCGCGGACATCTTCTAGAGAATAACCTACAGAAGCTGGCGATTCCGAAGTTTGGTTGTCGAGTGGACGTCGGATCGTACGCAACATGGTCGAAGTCCTATTCCGCCGTACTGGAATGGACATTTTGGTTTGCAGTAATAACCCGAATCGGACCAATCATGAGAAGACCGTGGACTGTTACTTCTATTCCCGGAGCAGATGTCGTGAAGGCGAGAACTGCAGATTTCGGCATGATCCTGCGAAACGGAAAGTGATAATGTTTCGGGACGAAACGTCCTTAAGGAGTGTAACGAGCACGAGTGTGTTGGTGTGCAATCGGGCACACGTGTGCGTGAATGGCTTATCGATTCGCCGACTAGCCGCGGGCGCCTTTCTTTATGTGCGCCGTATTTATAAATGTGTGTTTCGTACTTTCGTTCTGGGAAAGCAGTTAAAGAGTTCAAAGAAAAAATAAACTATCCGGATGTTTCGAGAAGGTTCCAGAAAGTAAACAAAAAACTATTTAAAGGAAGAGACGATCGCCGTTAATTTTGTTAAACCCGCGAACATTACAGTATTATCCCGTATCTACAATATGATCAATCCATTTATATTAAAATGGTTCTCTAAAATATAAACAAAAAAATACTGATTTAATTGACTTTCTTCTACCATTTACAATAATTTCAATAATAAGTACTGTGAACTAATCGTAAGTTTTATGTGAAATTTTGAAGTTAAGCTTGCTTGAACGTTCTTATATTCATCGGTCAGTTGTGGTATAAGTACATACATAGCACGTCTGTTATAGGCTGTTCTTTATTCTATGGTGTTCTTATTGTTGATTATCTATGGTTGATTATGTTGTTGATTTTTTGAACGCTTGACTGTGGTGGTCTGAACATAGCATTACTCATATGGGTATAATCGGGTGGAATAGTAAATAACAATACATTTAATAGTAGATACTGTATTTATATTCTTCCAACTTCCATAATACAATTAAAATGGGTTGTTGCAGCTCTGAACCATCAAATGTAAGTCCAGAAAATGCTGATGATACAAACGGAAGAAAATGCACTGATGTCTTCTGGCTATGTGTTTATATTTTGTTTTGGTTTGTTATGGTACTAAATGTTATTTTCAGCTTCAATATAGGAATTTATGATTATATAAATTACAGATTGTAATAGCGACATTCTCTTTTGTTTATGGTAGCCCACTTCGTATTGTAAATGGATATGATTCTTTTGGTAACACTTGTGGCACTAAAAACAATAAACGTATTGGGAATTTGGAAATGTCTGGAATTGATACTGCAGACAAACCCTATCTTTTATTTTTTGACTTAAAGGAGTTACGGCATTCTCTCAAAATATGCGTTAATAAATGCCCGGAAACAAAAATCAGTAAAATAGAAGATTTTCAGACATACTATTGGAAATCAGGCAATAACCTTTGTAAATATGGTTTTGATTTTAAACACTTTAGCAACAACAGCATTAAGGATAAAAATATGCTAAGCAGTCCTTTTGGGCCATGTCCAGTTTTACCAGTTTATAAAAGGTTTCTATAATTGCAATGTAATAAAATTAAATCTTTAACACTAATTATTGTAGTAAACCGATATTGAATCGATGTGTACCAAAGTCAATTAAAGACTTAGCTGAAGGTTTGCTTTCAAACATATATGAACTTTTAAATCATTGGGATTTCCTTGAGCAAATTTTACGAGACTTATACAGCACATGGAAGCATATATTGGGCCTTACATTTCTAGCATTACGTAAGATTTTCAATATTTTTATGTAATCTTAAGTATTTTATTTAGGTAAACAACCACAATTTTACAATTAAAAGAGTACTTTTTGGCAAAAGAAATTATTCTGAAAAAATAAAAGTGTTTCCCATTATTTAAGTGGGTGACCAACCAGGACAAACTCTTTTGGCAAGTCCACTAATTGAGTCGTTTATTTGACATTGTAATAGCTGCTGAGATTTGTACCCACAGGGTGTACTGAGAGTTAACAAAGGACGTTATGCCCTTGCTATGCTTCTTGAGATTATCACCGAAGGTGGCAAACCTTAGCCTTTTAATTGTCTCATTATTGCTGACAATATTTATTAAGTAATAATTTTGTTATTTATATTTTATGAGACAGTTTTTTTATGATTCTTAAAATATATATAATTAATAATCGTAACGATTAAAAGCTCTGAAAAACCTAATTAAATCAGCAAAATAATGAAAACCGGGATATGTTCATAAAAAAAGTTATACGGTTCAAGGGTGGCAACCCATTTATTACTACTGTTCAACTTCTACAAAACAATTATAAAGCGATAAACACTACAACTACTGATACTAAAGGATCAAATAGAAATTTTATTACTGTAAATCAAATTAATAAAAACCTATACTCAAGTTCAAACGAAACTTTTAGCAGTGTTCAGGCTACTGATTTCCCAATTATTCGTGCCTCTGGAATAAACATGAGGATTTGTGAGTGCTTCATTAACGAAATAACACCGGCACAACATGGTTTTTTCAAAGGTCGGTCTACTTAATCGAATTTACTACTATACAGTGACTATACAGCTAACACTCTAAATAATGTGTCAAGTTGACTTTATTTATCTTGATTTCCAAAAGGCGTTCGATTTAGTTGACCATGCCTTTCTATTGTCTAAACTTTATAACAAGAGCTTCAATCCTGGTCTTATATACTGTTAAAGTCTTACCTTTGCCAAAGAGAAATAATAGTCAAGATTAATGTAAAAATGTAGTAAAAATCGAAATTAGTACATAATTACAAGCTGCATGGTACAGTCTTAGAGGAGTTAGCCTTTATGAAAGACCTAGGAATTATCTTTAAAAGCAACTATACCTTTAAAATCCACTTGAATATGGTTATATCTAAAGCACATAAAACATTTGGTTTCATATATAGATTTATAGGACAATTTTCAGACCCATATACCCTCATTTATCTCTACTTAACACTGTGTAGATCAATCTTAATTTATTGCTCTCAAATCCGGACTCCTTACTTTGAGGTAGATATTCGTAGCCTTGAGTCTATTCAACATAGATTTCTCAAACATCTTTCTTCTTATGACAAAAATGCTGCAACCATACAATACTGGAAACATGACTACTCGCGAATTATGTTACATTTGTTCAATTAAATTATAATCATAATTTTCTTTAAAAAGGTACTTATGAATAAAATAAACTCCTCTGTAATCTTTGACATATTTAATAAACGCCAGATCACTTATAATCTACGTCAACTGAGAGAGTTGCTCAAACCTGAATCAAACAGAGAATTATATTTTACTCACCATCATTTCGGCTTAAGCGTAGTTTTAACAATTTTACACCAGGAATATTAATAAATTAATTAATTTTGATATACACGTAATGTAATATTAAAAATTGTAACTGGGTATTTTGCCCGTTGATTGCTGTTAAAAAAAAAACCTTTATAGATAGGCAAGTACACTATTTATTGGATATAATACGGCTGTCACTTGTTAAAATATGTTTAATAAAATAGAATAAAAGGAAAAACACTTGGCATGTTTTACAAACCTATATTTAGTCTTGACATAATTGTTTAGGTCTTTACACCAGTATCAAAAGAGCTCATTAAATACTAAATTTTAGGAGGGAAGGTCAGTAATTAATTTTATCGTTTGTAACAGTGTGGGTTTTCCATTATAATTTTGTTATTTCTATGCTTTCAGAATGGTCTAACTTTCTCCATTTGTTAATACTGTGAGAGAGGTAGACGTAGATTAAATTACTGCTCATAAATAGTAAAGGATGCGGGGTGTTCTAGTTTTAAGGAAATGCTAAGATTAGCTCAGGATAGGAGAGTTGAGATTCGTGTCCAACCAGTCTTAGGATTGACGAACTTATGATAATGATAATGATGATGTTAATACTATGTAAATTTAGATATTAATAATTTTAAACTTCTGCATAGTAAGTAGTAGGTACCTACATTTTAATGGAAAAAAATTGACTTCCGCCCTGAAAGCTTGAAAATAGTGAAAGCAAACCCTAGTCTGTTACAAACGACCAAATTGATTACTCAGCATCTCTTTTAATTTTAAGACAAATATTAGTTTGTAATCGTAGTATAAAAACCGAAAGGATTTCGTCAAAATTAAATACAAAGGCTATAGGACGATAAGCATAGTGAATCGGCCCCAGAGGAATATCTGGATAATTTTTTTAGGGGACATTGATACTAATGAGATACGTTAATTTTGAAAATTTTAGACCTCTATCTATTTTGGTTTTTGAGTAAATTCAAAAAAACGAAAAATCAGAAAATAATTTTTTTCTCGAAAACGGCTCAATCGATTTAATTGAAATTTATACACGTTATGAAGGTATATAAGGGCTATACTCGGAAAAAATAACAGCTCATAATCTTTATAATAACCATTAAAAACAGGCATTTTTTACCGAAATTATTTTTTTTCTTTATGATAATGTTCTAGAACAATTTTGAAATAAACTTTTTTTTATGCCCTTTTTAATATAGAATAACCCCTCAAATTCTTAAATCGATCAGAAAGGTACGCCATATTGAAAAACAAGAAAAACCGATTTTTTTTATATAAAAATCGATTTATTTTACTTTTTATACTTTTGAAACAAAAGAAAAGCGGGTTAAATGATTAATTTTATAAGTGCAAATAACATCAAATATTGAAAACAATAGTGTAATTGTTTTTTTAAGTCATAATATTAAAAAAAGGAATTATAAACTATATTTAGATAAACCAAAAGATGACTCATTAATGTTAGTGATAGTCAACTAAAACAAAAATTACAACACCTTTGGAAGTTGAATTTTTAAAGATGTCGAGATAGGTCTTTCATAAATTAAATGAGAGACCTTTAAGACCAAGTTTTAAGTAAATCTGACGACAAATAATATATGTTCCATTTAAACATTGCAACTCCTCTTAACCACACCTCCCCCCCCACGGGAATGGGATAAAAAGTATCCTATGTCCGTCTTCCGGTTGTAAGCTACCTCCCCACCAATTTTCAGCCAAATCGGTTCATCCGATCTTGAGTTAGAAATAGTGTAACTAACACTAATTTCTTTTATATATATAGATAAGTACACTATTTCAGTACAGTCTGTTTATGAAACCACTTTGCAAGTGAAACTTTTTATAACTTTTTAACTGTAAATTTTCAGAAAATTAGTCGATTTAGGGTATTAAAATTAAAATCGCGTTCTTAAACTTATCTTAATGATTGGAAAATGGGAATGATAATGTGAAATCAATAATAGACAAGATATCCAACTATAAATTTTAATTTCAATCTGCGTATGAGAGTACGGAATACATAATAAATACAATCATTCAGATGATAGACGCATATTAAAAACTGAGAATAATATTTATTTAAATCATTGAATTATTTTGAACTTCAGTTATTCTATCAATAATTTCATCTTCGCTTTGAGTTTCACAGTCTATAATGTAATTGTCATGCACTTGCACGAATGAGTGAGAATATAAATGCTACACCAGGGGTCGGCAACCTGTTTGTCCTTAGGGGCGCAATACTAAATTTGAAGATCACCGAGGGCGCATATTTTACTTAGTAGTTTTAAATGCACGGTCTACGCGTGGTCTATTCGAAATACGATCACACACTAACAAAAAATACGTGCGTGTTATTAGACACGCTCAAGGTTAGCAAACTGCTATGCACAATCCTAAACTCAACTGACTACTTGTTGTATATCGCCGTTTGACAAGAGTAAGTAAATCGCTCTGGCTATCATACATTTACATTAGTCCAGCGAGGGAGCATTAAAAATCGATCGGGGGCGCCATGGCGCCCGCGGGCGCCGCGTTGCCTACCCCTGTGCTACACGGTTAGCTCATGCGAGCTACGGCGCCGCCATATTGGCATTGGCTACTCACTCTACCGAGCGCCTTTCACTTTTACCCCTACTCCGCGGCTGGCTGTAATGCGACATGCTGTTGATGGACGAAAAAATTTGAGGCGATGTAATAAAAGATTCACTTTAATAAATACAGATGCTGCGTAAAGTTCCAGAATCTCTAACATTGATACTATTTTAGTTTTCAATCTATTAGAAGCATGTACAAATTAATATTGTTGTGTTTGTTTATTTCAGTATTTTCACTGATGACGATCTCCCTGCTACATTTACTCGCACATTTAGTAACTTATATAATTATGGTATTGGTAACTGTAGCATGTGTAGCAGGTACAGCTTTTTTATGGTATACATATTTTGATATTAAAAGAGGACTTGATTCTGCTGATGGCAATTATATTCTTATGCAAATTGCAAGAAATGAAACTGCCTTTTGCTGGTTTTCAATAATTGCTACAATTATTACGGTAATTACAACTTAATTTATTTTCCTTAGATTTGAACTCTTTCATTAAAACAGAATCCACAGTTAGGCTGAACTAAAATGATAATAATATGATAATTTCAGGAAGTGTGAATCAAAAATTCTATGCTTGAGTGTTTATCAATTTATTCGTTTTTATCCAGGTACTCTACAGAAAATATATATACGTACAGTATTATTTGACAAACAAATAACCCAATCTTTAATTATAACCACATGTTGTTATAAACGCAGTCTTACAATTTATCAATTTTCTTTATATTATTACCCGAATCATTTAAAACACCATCATCTCTACTGTTGGCTATCCTAAGCAATTTTCGCATTTCCTGAAAACTATTTCTTCTGCCCCTCAATTCCTATTTCTTCTTCTGGCATGTCTCTAATGAGGCCTTCATGTTTCATCCCCTTCCATCCTATCCCTCAAAGACACTCATCAAAAAGTACTGTAAAATTTCTTTCAGCCAAAAATCACACGCGGTTTATCCACTGTTCTGAATAAATTTGGTTTAACAACAGTCTATATCCCTTCAAACAGTTTACAAACGCATTTAGGTAATCCAAAAGATAGAATAGATTCCCCACGAGAAAGCAGGAATTTTCAGTACTAAACGTAAAAAATGCGACAAGAAGTATATAGGTCAGTCATAGCGCAATTAAAGTTAGGCTTAAAGAGCACTTAGTTCACCTTAGGTTTAACAGAATAGAAAACTCTAACGTAGTTTTCCACATTTTTTAAAATAACCATAAATTAGACTTCAATTGTTTAAATTTAATCAGGAGCGTTGATTTTATCCTTCCATTTTTGTTGGTTTCAGTTAAAATTTTTAGAGAGGAATCGAAACAATATAATTTAGTCTAGATTTAAGGTTAATTTAGTTTTTAACTTTAACACCTTGGGGTGTCTCAATTACATCTATCTCTCTACTAATTTATAGTCCAACAGGGGGAATAGTAGGTATTACTTTGTGGCTGTTAAATTATTTAATATTTTATCAGATCACACAAGCAATTTAAAAAATGTAAACTATAAACGTTAAATATAAGAATAAAGGCTTTCACGGCCGAAATCCATAGTGGAATAAAGATTCGGGCTATAGGGCCGTGGTCTAAGTGAACTATTCTGTCCAGACGTTTCGTCAGCTACTGCGGCTGACATCCTCAGAGGAAGGCCTCCGTGAAAAACGGAACAGAGACTAGATCTCGAAACCTCGACAGACAATCGACGTCAACGTTGCAAACCAACAACAACACTAAGGATGTCAGCCGCAGTAGCCGACGAAAAGTCTGGACAGAACAGTTCACTTAGACCACGGCCATATAGCCCGAATCTTTATTCCACTATGGATTTCGGCCGTGAAAGCCTTTATTCTTATATTTAACGTTTATAGTTTACATTTTTTAAATTGCTTGTGTGATCTGATAAAATATTAAATAATTTAACGGTCACAAAGTAATACCTACTATTGCCCCTGTTAGGCTTTATAAATTAGTAGAGAGATAGATGTAATTTTAGTTTTGCTAAATTAGCATCTCTTAATTTAAAAAATGAAAACAGTAAGGCTTCCGATTCATGACTGTGCAGTAGACAAAGGTTGGTTAACAATTTCCATAGTCTCTATCTTCTTATTAAGTTTGTCATTAGTATTCTTCTCTGGACAGACTTCAGGGCTCCTAGAACATTTTGATAGACACCCCCTACTCCCAAGCTATGATACCATTCGTAGCAATTCCATAGAGAATAGCGTAATGTATTTTAAATAAGTTAGACTGATTCATTATAAGTCAGTACAACAAATATACTAAATATTTGGTTTTCTTTACAATATACGGTATATGTTTATCCCATTTAAACTTAGAATCTAAGATCAATTCCAAATGTTTGAGTTGATCCGATCTATTAATTACATTTCAAATGTATCACGAATAAAATTTATGTATTTACCAAAGATGATAAAAGTTGTCTTAGATATGTTAGAAGCTAAAGGGTTAGTAAATAGCTAGGTAATATACAATTTCAAATTATTTGGTTATTCTATTCTTGAGCTCTGCTCAGGAGGAAACATCACACTGTACAGCCCTGTAATCGGCAAAAAATAAAGTATTAGATAATTAGATAACTGTTTCAATAGTGAGTTGATATATATTAAAAAAAGTTTTGCATTTCTATACTGATCTCCCTTCTCTGCAAACGTCGCGTTCGGTAAAACACAAGACGCCTCAAATTTGTACAGACGGCAATGGCCCAGTGGCACCAATGGTTGGCTAACATGTAGGCGGGGTCGTCCTCTATCCTTAGCCGATGCTATGTTTTTTTTCTTCTTAATTTATGTTTATTAATCTTTTATTAATTTCTTTTTTAATATTAAATGTTTCAATCAACGAATGCCTTTGTTTAATTGCTTTGGAGCAGAAGGTTACAGTAGGAAAAGACAAGTGTTATCGTTGTCTTGTCCTTTATTTTTGACATCGCTTGTGGGTTATGCTGTAAACATACAGCGGAACTAAAAAATATTTACCTACCTTACAAAATATGACTTAAAGGTAAATATCGGCGTTGCTTTAATTCAGTAGTATTACGTTTAGTCGCAAAAATAATGAAACTTATGGGTTATTATTTAAGTAATATAAAATATTAAATAATGTCGTAGGTATGTATCTTTTCTGTAGAAGACCTGATGAACTTTGAATTAAAAGTGGACGAAATCCTACATTTGCTACCTATACGTGTCTATGGTTTACACTTCCTGAAAATATGATAAAGTTAATAATGGATATGAATCTTCATCATAATCGTAAAATAATTATATAAATAATGCATCTTAAATGCTTCTTAAAAGAGGCCATGCTTTGATTTTATCAATAGTAAACTGTACTGTAAGGTGTATTTGTATACTTACTTTTTGTAATTTCAAGCAGATCCCTTCGTTACAGTCTGTTATTTTTGAAGTAAAACTTCTTTATCGATGGTAGGCAGGAAATTTACTATGGTATAAAAGCGAATAATGTAACGTCACGCGTCACAGCGTCACGCGCCACGTGGTGGATATATCAAAAAAGAGTCATTTTAACAGACTTCAGAAGCTAACCTGTTAGTAGATAATCCGAAAATTGCCATTTCGGCAAATTGCATATGCGTTTCTGTTTGTTTTGATTTGTAATTCCTCTCTGCAGGTTTGTAAGATGTAATCGTAAAAGTTTTTAACAAAACTAAAACAAAATTCCGCATTCGTCTGATTGAAATGAAGTTGTGTTCAATAATTAGTTAATCATTTATTTTTCAAAAATATTTATGCGATGGTTTCAGGACATCTTGTATAAGATACTTTTCATAAGAACATGTGAAAGTTAATAAATTCTTAACGAAGCATATTAAGCTAATTATTTATATAATTATTGATGATACTCTTCCATTTAATCACTTTAAAAATATGCTTACATATCTTACAGTTAAAGAGGTTATTTTTTTTTTCAGATAATAATTTTGATACTTATATTTATCTTATATGGTCAAGCTGGATTTTTAGCTGAATTGTTTAAAGACACCACAAAATGCATAATGCAAGTTCCTGGCCTATTTCTCCAGCCACTAGCTACTTTTGGAGTTATGTTGGTCTTTTTTTGTTTTTGGGTTACCGTTGTTGTAAGTTGAATAATATTTTTGTTCTTTTAATATTGTAGCATACCCCAGCTTACACTGTTAATGGTTTTAATGATTTATTATATTAATCTACATACAAAAAAATGTGACGTGATACGTTAAAACAAAGTTTATATTTGCAAAATATAGACCAACATTTGCATGCTTAAGAAAAAGTTATACAAAAAACTTTTTTATCGCAGACCTGTGTAATTTATCGATTTAGTTACCACTGAAACTTGGTTCACTTTCGTTAAATTTTATTTTTAAGCATTTTTTATTTAATCCTTCATTGAAATTTTGCTCTTGTATCATAGAGAAACGTAATAGGTATTATTGTAATAACGTTACATTTCAGTTATGTTTAGCAACGGCATACTATCCAGGGACTACAGCAATCGACAGTCCTCTTNTGAAGTTTATGGTAGTGATTTAGCTGTACAGGTTTTTTACAAATGTTTCTGTGAGTAATTAAATGTAGTGTTTACATAATATCCGTAATTATTACAGAGTTTACTGTGGTCGAATTTGTTGATCCATTATGGGTAAAGTATATGTGGTGGATTTATTTTATCAATAGTAAACTGTACTGTAAGGTGTATTTGTATACTTACTTTTTGTAATTTCAAGCAGACCCCTTCGTTACAGTCTGTTATTTTTGAGGTAAAACTTCTTTATCGATGGTAGGAAGGAAATTTACTATGGTATAAAAGCGAATAATGTAACGTCACGCGTCACAGCGTCACGCGCCACGTGGTGGATATATCAAAAAAGAGTCATTTTAACAGACTTCAGAAGCTAACCTGTTAGTAGATAATCCGAAAATTGCCATTTCGGCAAATTGCATATGCGTTTCTGTTTGTTTTGATTTGTAATTCCTCTCTGCAGGTTTGTAAGATGTAATCGTAAAAGTTTTTAACAAAACTAAAACAAAATTCCGCATTCGTCTGATTGAAATGAAGTTGTGTTCAATAATTAGTTAATCATTTATTTTTCAAAAATATTTATGCGATGGTTTCAGGACATCTTGTATAAGATACTTTTCATAAGAACATGTGAAAGTTAATAAATTCTTAACGAAGCATATTAAGCTAATTATTTATATAATTATTGATGATACTCTTCCATTTAATCACTTTAAAAATATGCTTACATATCTTACAGTTAAAGAGGTTATTTTTTTTTTCAGATAATAATTTTGATACTTATATTTATCTTATATGGTCAAGCTGGATTTTTAGCTGAATTGTTTAAAGACACCACAAAATGCATAATGCAAGTTCCTGGCCTATTTCTCCAGCCACTAGCTACTTTTGGAGTTATGTTGGTCTTTTTTTGTTTTTGGGTTACCGTTGTTGTAAGTTGAATAATATTTTTGTTCTTTTAATATTGTAGCATACCCCAGCTTACACTGTTAATGGTTTTAATGATTTATTATATTAATCTACATACAAAAAAAATGTGACGTGATACGTTAAAACAAAGTTTATATTTGCAAAATATAGACCAACATTTGCATGCTTAAGAAAAAGTTATACAAAAAACTTTTTTATCGCAGACCTGTGTAATTTATCGATTTAGTTACCACTGAAACTTGGTTCACTTTCGTTAAATTTTATTTTTAAGCATTTTTTATTTAATCCTTCATTGAAATTTTGCTCTTGTATCATAGAGAAACGTAATAGGTATTATTGTAATAACGTTACATTTCAGTTATGTTTAGCAACGGCATACTATCCAGGGACTACAGCAATCGACAGTCCTCTTTTAGCCTCTAAATCAAACTTGGCTCCAACAGAATTATCTTCTACTAATGTAGGATTTGTTAAAACGTTCAGTAATGAATCAGTACAATTAAAGAGTAAGTAATAGTGTAATGTTCGTGGGTTTAACAAAATTAACTTCTAATACTGCTAACGACAAAAACTATTTATTTACACTAATTATTGAAGAACTTATAGAACAAACAAAATAGCTCAAACCCCAACGCCAAAACACGACACTGTAGTTGTCCGAAGCACTTTTCGATAACAAGGTTGCCTTCTTCAGGGACTGAAGTGAACTAAATCTAAAAGGGAACTAATCCTAATTTATACTAATAGTTGTTAAGGTTCGGTGAACATAGCTCAATGACAACAAGGTTGGTGTTCAATGGACCTTAATAAAAAGTANAAATCTAGTTTTGATTGAGTGTCTAGTCTGACCAATATGTTTTTTACTAGAGTCATTACAATTAATTCCATATATCCCCGACTTTTCTACAAAAGCAATTTTATCCTTAGGATTATCAAGGAGAGTTTGAATGGAGTTGCCATTTGAACTGTATGCAATCCGTAAACCAAGTAATTATTTCTAATTTCCTTAACTAATGTAATATTGTCGATATATTGATATTAATATTATGGTCTTCAGTAAGAATATATTGGGCAACACTAGATTTTTCCCCTCTGTCAAACCGTGCATGAGCTAAATGCTCGTTAAATCTAGTTTGGATTGAGCGTCTAGTTTGTCCAATATATTTTTTACTATTTTTATTCCTTAGGGTTACCAAGGAGAGTTTGAATGGAGTTGCCATTTGAACTGTAAGCAATCCGTAAACTAAGTTTTCGAAAAATACCATCGAGTCCTCGAGTAAATCTTGGCTCGTATGGCATAGTAATAAACTTGGTCTTATTAGCGTTGGAGTTTGAGCTATTTTGTTTGTTCTACAACAACCTCTAAAGTTTTCCCAATCTTCATATTGAAGAACTTAAAAACACTATTAAATTATTACTAAACTTATGAATTATTCTATTTATTTAAACTACTGTTGATATATCACTGTTCACTGCGCTATTTATTTCTGGATTCACTTCTGCAACGGTCAATTTATTTCTACTTCTCTCGGCGATCGTCTCTTTCTTTAAATACTCTTTTGTTTACTTTCGGGACCCTTCTGGAAACATCGGGATAGTTTATTTTTTCTTTGATCTGTTTAACTGCTTTCCCAGAACGCAGGTACGACACACATTTACAAATACGACGCACATGAAGAAAGGCGCCCGCGGATAGTCGGCGAATCGATAAGCCGTTCACGCACACGTGTGCCCGATCGCACACAAACACACTCGTGCTCGCTACAATAGCAAGGAAATTATGCGTGTATCAGTAAACCTACTTGAGCAGAAAGTAATTTAATAATAAGTAAAATCAATTGAAGTATCAGTATTTTTCGATATTAAGTTCAACTTTCAACTAGTGCAAAGTGCAAACTTATGCAGTGACTTGAGAATATCCTGTATAAATGTATAAGTTGTGAAGTTTATGGTAGTTTATTCAGCTGTACAGGTTTTTTACAAATGTTTCTGTGAGTAATTAAATGTAGTGTTTACATAATATCCGTAATTATTACAGAGTTTACTGTGGTCGAATTTGTTGATCCATTATGGGTAAAGTATATGTGGTGGATTTATCTCATAGGTCTAATTTGGACTTCTGAATTTATTATGGCTTGTCAGCAGATGGTCATTGCAGGTGCTGTTGCTCATTGGTTTTACAGGTTTGTTCAATATGATAATATGTGATTTAATATTCATAAGTCAGTGTATTTATCTGTTTAATTAAGTAATTTCATACTTTGTGTCGAAAAATAGAACATCCCATGTCCCTAACTATTTGCTAATAGACATTTGATCTAGATCTTCATCTGCCATTCTTTATTCCTGTTTCTGCTTGTATTGTGTGCGAAGCTGTCCTATCTTATCGCTCATAAAGTTGATATTGCTCATATGCTGCTTTATTATGATAATTCTTTTTAGACTTATTCACTTCGGGTTAAGTTTGAGTTATTTTATGTATTGTTGATTGCGTACACATAGAGGTCACGTGGCTCTCGATCATTTGAAGGCACTGTATATGTATAATGCGACTTGGTAGATTATGATTACCTAAAGTTTTTTCGTTTCATTTTGACTGTTCTTGTTAGGTAATACCTTCCTTTTTAACTTCAATCGACTTTTTGTTATATTGAAGCCGTTCTGCTTCACCGACCAAAATCACTCTTGGACGCGCATGACGTCATTTCGAGCTATAAGCTTCTCTTTTGAGTTATAAGCAAAAATTCAAAATTTCGAGTTTTCGTTACATGTCTTGCTTATTTGTAAAATAAGAAGAAAGCAACTTTTACGTTCTTTAGCCACTTGTTTGCGTAGCGCAGTAGCGGCGTCAGAAAAATAAAAAGAAATTCATACACATTTTAATTAAGTATACCATAAAGTTGTCTACGCTGAATGTGTACGGTGCAATGTTTCCGTAAATTATAAAGTAAATGCGAATGTGTCATTTTCGCTTTTGTTTTCGAGAACTTGCATTAACCAAGTCCTTTAAACAATGTATTAGTTTGTAGCATTTACCTAAGTAGCTATTATTTCATTAAATTAAATATTGTATATGTTTGCAAATTTTTAATCTTAATATTGTTATTTTATCTTTAAGAAATAAGTATAAAGACGATTCTCACATCAGTTACGCCATTGGTAAGCTTATTAAGTATCATTTAGGATCCGTTGCATTAGGCTCACTTTTGATTACCATAGTTAAAATTCCACGTCTAATATTAACTGTTTTACGTGCAAAGTAAGTACTATGAATATTATTGCTTTGTATGAATATTTACGTTAAAATTTTTAGATTGCAGAAATACAAAGATGAGGGAAGCGAATGTGCTAAATGTTTGTTGAATTGTTGCATTTGTTGCTTTTACTGTTTGGAAAAGTTCATACGTTACCTAAATCATAATGCTTACACAGTGATCGCCATCGATGGCTCCAGTTTTTGTCCTGCTGCAAAAACGGTATTTATAAAAATTATTATACGTAGACGGCGTATCTCTTAGAAACGTCGGAAGTTTTTTCTTTGTGTTGTTTCTTTTGTTTTTCCTCGAGGAGGGAAAATCTTCAAAAGACACCCCCGAGGGTAGTGTCGGATTCGCCGAAGCATCTAGCGACTAAAACCCCTTCTCGAATAGGAAGATCAACCAGAAGATTGTACATCCCAAGGAAAGTTCGTTAGAAAGGTTGGTAAAGGGAAGAGGGATGAGTGGGGAGGAGGAGTATTTTGAGGGAGGAATGGTATGGACGAAAATCGGTGTCCCTCCTCAAAGAGTTGAGATAGACGGGTTTGGGTGACCCTGAGGCCCTGAGATTTGCCGCTAATCTGATTGAAACCTCGGGGAGAGAAGGTAGACCAGTTTCTGATGAACCATGGGTAGTTGAGTGCGGAACGAAGTATCCGAAATAAGCGCCTTGAAGAATTTGTAGGCGAAGGGGATAGGTGCAACCCCAAATGGGACCTATGGTTGTTAACGTTGATGGTGGAAGGCTTTCGGGTCTTAAGGGAGAAGATTGCTTTCGACTTGGTCTCGTTAATAGCAAGTTTCCTTTTTCCATACCAGTTGAAGAGCAAGAGCAGAAATTTGTTAAATTGTATAATTGTTTTGGTGGAATTTAAAAGGGCAACGTCATCGGCGTAAATGGCAGTAAGTAATGGTGGGACGACAAATCTGCACAGAAGAGGTTGAATAGAAGGGGCGACAGCTTGAAGCCTTGAAGTAGGCGAGTTGTAAGTTCTCGTTGGATAGCGTTAAGTTCGGCACGAGTGCGGGATCGCGGTGTCTTTGCCACAAACTGCGGGTTTTGCTTTTCGTCTTAAAAAAGGCAAGAATGTCTGCGAGGAAGGTTTTATCAGGGGCGGACGTGGGGTGGAAGGTAGTGGGAGCTCGATTGCGCTGGTAATCTCGTTTGAAAGAAGATTCACAGCTTCATCGAGTTCCGCTATTGTGCGAATTGGAGTGCACTTAAATGAAGGGGGGTTGTTGATTGGACTAAGTGCATCAGGGACAATAGGATCGGCGAAAAAGGAGGGTTCAACTGTGAGGTTGAAATCGAGAACTTTGGCAAGAAGGAAGGGCCTTTTTTGGTTTGTCGACATCCCCAAGAGACGTGTTTAACGTTGAAATCACCTGCGACGATAGTTAAAACGCCTGGGGAAAGGAGGAGGGGGAGTCAGAGAGGTTTCTATCCGAAAAGAGGGAGTATAGAAAGATGATCCTAAGAAGGCTGAATGTTAGTGAGACTGCCGATTGCTTCTAAGGAATTTGTGGCCAAAGAGGTAAGCGTGTGCTTTAAAAACTTCCTAATACGCCATTGGCGCCAGCGTTCTCACGGTCCTTTCTGTAAGATGAGAAGTTTAGGACGAAAATTTTGATATTCTGTGACGAATGAATTCCGGTGATGCAGGCAACACCGATTGACTTATCCTCGAGGAAGTATTCGAGTTCAGTCAATTTACCTCTAATACTTTGAGCATTATACGAAGATTATTTGGGTGGGCTGTATTGTATATTGGTAGGAGTTTGTAGGACGGTGACTAGACTGACTACAATGACTACCATCGTTTGAACAATGGCCTGGATTCTGTGTTCTAGAGTAGGAGTTGCGGAGGTGTTTGGAGACGCATTGCGTTTTTGAAAGAGGGGGAGGAGCTGCTGTCACTGCCCTGGTATAGGATGTTTGGGGGCCGTCCTTCCGGGATCACTGTTGGACGGGGTACTGAATGCACGTTTTTTTTAACAATCGGAGTGTTGGGGGGATTTAGAGATATTTGGGTGGATACGGTTCTCTTTGGAACCTTGGGGCAGCCGCGGTATATGGCGCGGCGATTTCCTTTGAAGTTAGCGCAGAAAGGGGTAGTACTTTTTTATCTTTTGCCTCGCATTCGGCACTGATATGGTTGCGGCCACAGAAGGAGTAGACCCAGGTAGCGTGACAATAATTGGTTGTGTGAAAGAATTTCATGCAACGGCAGCATTGGGGAATGTCTTTAGTAGTGTAAATTGGTTAAAACTTACCTATTAATCAGCTGGGCAATAGGTGTAGTAACCGAGCCTTAAAAAGAAAATGCTGTTAAATGAGACGATTGTAAATATGTACATTTCAGAGGGAGCATGCCGAAGTATTCTTACAAAAACATTTTTTAAGCCTAATCATTTTTTTCTCAAATGACATTAGAAGTTTCTTTATTTACTAAGATTACGGCAAGAAAAATATGACTGTATTTAATCGACTCCATCTACATAGTGTGAATAGTACCTAGAGAAGTAATTAATTAATCACATTATCTACACAATTTATTCATGTATAATCAGTTTGTCAATGAGATATATATCATGTGTATTATGGTCATATTTAATAAATTTAGTTATTGTTTGTAATATGTAATAAGCATCCATTTCACTAAATCTTACATCTTTCTGTTACAGGCGTTTGAGGTACTCACACAACACGCTCTACAAGTAGCCACCATTAATACTCTTGGCGATTTCATCCTCTTTTTAGGAAAATGTCTTGTAACAGCATTGACAGGGGTTGTTGGTTTATATTTATTCAGAAAAAATCCTGATTTGACGTTTTACGCAGCTCCTACATTGCTTGTTTGCGTATTTGCTTTCTTTGTTGCCCACTGTATTCTTTCTCTATATGAGGTAAGTAACAAACTTAGCATACGTATTATTAGGTTATTGATAGAGATTTTAATATGGAACGATTGTGGCGGAGAGAGGGCAACGACTGTATTAGATGGATATAATGCGCAACCGCGCGGAGAGCGGGGAGTCCGCTAGAGTCCCGGCGGCGTGTGCTGTGCTCAACTGTTTTCTTACCTCTGCTCTCCACGTGGCTGGGCATCATTACCTCTATTTGCGGTCTATGTAAAAAGCAAATCATTATTTGCAGTAAAACTGTGAAAACGAAATGTGTGCTGGGACACATAGTAGAAGTGAAACTTCAACTGACAAGTGGAAAAACGAACCATAACAACATTTTTACGGGCTTTTTTAATGTACTTATTCAATTTGAAAACCGGACAAAATTTTTACTTGAAGTTTTACGGGCAGGTTTTCAAATTGGACAAGTACATTAACAATCTGCCCGCAAAACTTAAAGTAAGAATTTTGTTGTGATTCGTTTTTCCAATTGTCCGTTGAAGTTTCACTTCTACTATGTGTCCCAGCACACATTCAATTTTCGATGTATTTACTCCTTTTTTTACTAACATGAACATTTTCAACATAATGTGAAATTACGAACAACTTTTTCTTATTTTTTTTTATACTGAACGTGGCAACAGGCCATTTTTGCGATATAGTATTTTTCGTTCCTCCACTTAGAATAAAATTGCGGTGATAGTTTGTGTTTAGATTAATCATTGTGTTTTATTTTTTTATTAAATTATTGAGTTTGTAAAGCAGGTACAATTTAATTTAAATTAGTTATTAAATTTTTCACAATTGGACCATTTTGAGTCATTTCTAAGAAAAGAAAGTTGAGTTTTCGTAAAAACTGTGATTCGGAAGTTTTACCAGTGCTCTCCTTTCCACACGGGTATCCCGGTTTCGATACCCATATACGCAGTACTTTTTTTTTCCTTATTAGATTGAATATTGGTCACATGCGTTATTAGTAATATAAACACAGTGTCTAGAGTGCTGTGTACTCATTTTTTTTGACAACTTTCAACAGAAGTTAAAAGCATACACCGTTCATACTTTTCTTTTAAATTCTTCTTAAATTTAAACGAAAATAATGGAAGCGGAATCTTCAGAAATTATGGATACTGAAAAAATGGAGAAGAAAAAACAAGCTACAAAGATCGATTTTTCAACATCTGATAAAGCAACGAAACGAGTAATTGCTCCGTTTGTAAAAATTTTTCGTAAGAAAAGAAAAGCTAAAGCAATAGAAGAAGAAGAAGATGTAGATGCTCCCAAGTATGTTTTTCCGTACAAAAGACCTAGCGTTCTTATCCATCACATGTCAGGATTTTTATCTGAAAATTTAGATTTATCTTCATTATTACATGATACAGCAAATGTTTTAAAAAACGCTGTCAGAGCAAAAGGAGTTTTACTCTATTTAATAGAAGACGATGAGATTTATTTAAGTCATAAGTCATACCAAAACGAACGTTTAAAACAAAAATGGAAAATTGGACCTGGTTCAATAGCAGCTGCTTATGTTGCATTTACGAAGAGGGTTACAATTGTTGATGACATCTTAACTGACATGAGATTTGATAACAGTTCCCAAAGTAGAGATGAAACTATGAAGTCTGTCCTTTGTGTACCAATTGTTACTCCAGACGAAGAATGTTTTTCTGTTCTTGAACTTTTTAGAGATATTGAACAACCAGTATTTGATGCTCAGGACATTAATACAGTATTAGTAACGACCGGATGGATTGGAGCTGCTGTTCAACAAAATCAAATGAGATTGCTTTTGCAAAAAAAAATGGAGCTACATCAATTTTTCCTAAAACTCATTATGTGGTTTTCTGAGAGTGCCTTGCCAGAAATGAATGTCATACAAGAAATTCTCAGTTTTGTAAAACACACATTAGGAGCTGAAAAAGGGATATTGTACAAATTTGTAAAATTTGGAACCGAAACTTGTTCTTATTTGTACGAGGAAACGCCAGATCATAAGTTAACAAAAAAGGTCCTTTCTTTGAAATACTTTGAAGAGGCAGGCTTAGTGAATAACATTATACAATCTCGAAAGATATATAATATAACAGACCCTAACGATCCTATTTTTAAGAAATTTTCTGAACAAAAAGTTGGATCTATCAATCGAGCTATGCTATGTCTACCGATAATTTCTTACGGAGAAGTAATAGCTATTTTTATGCTGCTAAACAAAGTTGGTTGGGACCATTTTACAAAAGCTGATGAAAAACTGGCGGAACTGCTAGGAACATATACTGCAATGGCAATGAAACATTCAGAAGTTGTATTATCTGGAATTAAAGCAGATTACGAAAAGGAAGACGTATCTGATTTAATAAACTACCATATTAAAGCATGTGAACACGATAGAAAACATTACTTAGAAAAAATGGAAGGAGTTATATTGCCGAATAATTTTAGAGAATTCTCGTGGTATATAGAACTGGACGACTTCGATAATATACCTAGATATGCATTATACATGATAGAACGCGTTTGTGGTGATTTTGATGTTAATTCTGAACAAATGATGGATTTTATTTTATCATTACGAAAAAATTATAGAAAAAATCCGTATCATAATTTTGAACATGCTTTTAATGTATGCCATTGCGTGTACAATGTGCTACGGAGGAACATGCTTGACTTTAAACCAATTGAGCGTAAAGCATTAATTATAGCAGCCTTAAGCCATGATGTTGATAGTCTCGCTTTAACTAACAACTTTTTAGTTCTAACTGACCATCTCTGGTCCAAACTGTACACTACATCACCGTCGGAAAGTCATCATAGTCAAATAGCTCTTCGAATGTTGAAAAACTTTAATATTTTTTATGGTATGGATTCCGATTCATATGAATTATTTACAAAGCAAGTAAAAGAAAATATTATATCGACTGATGTTTTTGTTTTTTTCAATGTAAAATTAAAACTGGAGGTTATTTGCGAGCATGAATTGTATCAAGCAGAAAACGACGTGCACCGAAGTTATTTACGGTCAATGCTAATGACTGCAGGTGATTTATCCATGTATTGCAAGTCGTTCCACGTTTGTAAACGATTGGTAGATCTCCTTTTATCAGAATACTATCATCAAGGCGATTTGGAACGAGAAATGGGATTTATTCCTTTGGCGTTATATGATAGATATCAAAGTCATAAAGTATCGGTAGAACAAGTAAAATTTTTAAAGTTCGTAGGATTACCTTGCTTTAATTTATTAAAAATTATTCTTCCTAATACAAGTGCTCTGTACGACAGTTGTATGGTGCTTTTGAAACAGTGGGAAGAAATTGACGAATATAAAAATCAAAAAACGTGGAAACAAGACGAATCAATATTCTGTAATAAGGGGTCAGATGTAGGGGAAAGTTAACTTAACGATTAAAAATATAAAATGACTGAATTGCTAATAAATTTTGATTGTTTATTGTAAGTTTACTAAAATGCAGAGTTTTACTTTAGAAGAAAAATGCTGGTTCTTTAATAAAATCCTATATATTTATAGCGGAAGCGATTTTCGTACCATAAATTTTGTTGCACGGATATATCAGTGGAGAGTCCACCTATTTCGATGATCTTGTTTTTTTTTCTTTTTCGTGAAAGGGCAAATATTCAAGACACGCAGTCGTCCGTACGACAAAGGAACGCGGAAGGTCATTTTAACTTTACGGTTAACATTAGAGAAAACGATAGAAAAAGAAAAGAACGTGTATATAGGATTATTAAATATACCTACCTACAAATCTACGAAAGAGATATAGAGATAAAAGAGTGATTTAAAGTTTGTATAAAGAGGAACAGGCAGTTCTAGAACTTGATCGGCAACAGAGAAATATTTGGAAGGAAGTCAGGCAAGGATGCACACTGTCACTACTCTTTTTTAATAAGCATCATTAAAGACAGGACAATTTTAGAGGTAGATAAACAGGGGCAAAAGATTAGTATGCTTAAATTTGCAATGATATATCAGTATTAGCATCAAGCAAAAAAAATTCTATCAAACACTAAAATGCAGGGATATTTTCCAAACTATACAAATTTTACGCATTTTTATATCGAAGTTTTCTAATATAAATCGTTTTACATTATACAATAAAAGAAAATAAAAAGTCCATCTTTAGTTTTTCTTTGTAAGGATTATTCCTAGTGTATTCAATATTTTTTATTACTTTTTTGACATAGGTATCTATCTATTTGAATTTAACATATAGCGTTCGTTTAGACTTGTTTAACATTTTAATAGCAAAACAATTTTCAAAATAGATCCAGTATTTTTTGAGTTGACATTCTTATTTTTTTCTCAAATTTGCAGATGGTTCTTGATACGGTATATTTATGCAAATGTCAAAGCGAGGAATCATCAAAAGAAATGCAACTACAAGAACTGACTTCAAATGATAAAAATGGAAAAACTTCAATGGATTTACCTGATGCTGAATTGCAGCCTATAAAAGAATAAGTAGTCGATAAAACTGAATATTTTGTTGAACTGTGTTCCAAAAAATTACGTCCAATATTTATGTTATTTTGAATAAGTCACATTCAGTATTATGTACACCCAGTTATAAGGATGTATATTTTTAAGGAGATTAATAATTGTTTAACAACTAATCGTAAGTATTTGGTTAAGAAAAAACGCACAACAGTCATTGAATTAATCATAAAACTAGCCTACGTAATTAAAATTTTGTGGATAAATAATTTCGTGGTACTCCATTGTCAGAAAAGCAAAGTTATTCCAAAAATATTTTAGGGAAGTCTTATTATTGTTTTTTACGTAATTAATAAGCAATTAAAAACTGGAATAAATAAACTTTTAAAGGCAAAGTAGGGAATCCGTTGCCGTGCATTACGCAGAAACTTTATCGTATAAATAAACGAACTGCGATATAATTAGAATTATAATACTAAACTAAATGGGGAAGTTTTACAACATCCCATTTAATTTAGCTATAGATACACCTTTCGTAAAATATTTTTTATATGATATGCATAATTCAAAAATTAAAAGATAAATGTAATGAATCCATTTAGTTTATAATACCGTTGCGACATACCCTCATGAATACATTTTTTTTATTCTCACTTCTTTAAAATGTAACACAAAAAAGAATCAACTAAAACTTCCCTCTAACACTTAAATCGTACCATCGATTATTCACTCATTTTTCATTACCAGAATGTGCCCAAATTCTGAGTTATACATACATAGTCTTGACAGAGAAAAAAGACTAATGTAGAAGTCCAGTTTTGAATTAATAATCCGGACCCAAATTCAGTCAATATGTAGAGCCGAGCGATAATTCTCGCTTCGAAAAATTTTTAAAACACGTACGTTATGCTTTTCTGGCAAAAAGGTTTGTTGTACAAACGGGGATGTTTTACTATCCCTTCTGAGCAAAAAAAATTGATGGCCGTCATGCGAGTTTTACAGTGTAACTTCTTAAAACAACTGACTTCAGTACGCCATGTGTACAACTGACCTAATAGTAAGTCAAAAAGGCTTGTCCCTACTACAACGCCATTTCCTGCTACTTTGATGACTTTCTAATTCACTCCATTGTGATTGGACTTTTATACTAACGTCTTCTCTGGCCTTGATAACAATAGAAAATAGATACTAAGATGTAATATAAAATTAAACTATTTTATTAGAATGAAAATTGGTATAAAATAATTTTTTGTATATTGATTTACGGTAGATATAAAACAAAAACAAGTGCATATTGTTTTTTGCTTTTTTAAATTGCTACTACGCTAATGATCAGTTAATTATATTAACAATTTCATTATTAACAATTGCACATTTTTGTTGTAATTTAAGAGTGCTCTAAGAGTTTGTTCAAATTAATATATCCATTAAATGGTACAACAGAAAAAATTATTTGGTATCTTTTAGTCATCATTCAAATAAAATTGTTTTGCATTTTTAATTTAATTTTAGTAAGTACACAGGTACTGCAAAAATACAAATAACTGCATAAAATGAATGTCACTTTTATATTATTTTATAGGTTTTTTAAAAAACTTTACATTTTTTATATTTTATACAGCTTATTAAATGTATTTATTATTTAATGTAAAAATATACGACTTAAATTTTTATTACTTTTTTGTTTTTATTTTTGGATGAACTAGTTTATTAGTTTTAGTTTTACTAGCCCTCTTCTGGTTAGATCTATTCTGTTCTTTCTCTTCATCTTTTGTTTTGTAATCTTTAGTTAACTTGGTTGCTTTTTCTAATGGATTTCCTTGAAAGATATCCTCTAGCGGTGCTGATTTGTAGCTTTCTTCGGAGTTTGCCAGTGCAGCATGACTTTTATCTTGAATTCGATTATTATATCTATTTCTAGAGGCAAGTTTCGTTTGCATTCTAAGTTTTGTGGGACTAATATATTGCGGGTTTTCCCACAATGCTGTTTTACCAAAACTCCCAGAAAATATTTTTACCTAAAAATGCCTTTGAAAAAATACTTGTCCAAATTTTTATTTATTATCATAAAAAAATATTTTGCCCTTAATCACGCTAGTTTACTCATCATGAGATTTCTTATTAAATCTAACTAACACCCTCTAAAGCTTGCTACTTATTCCAGAAATACCCTATATATAAGAATCAATTGTCAAATGTATGACGAAGTATCACTTGAGAACAGATAGACCGATTTGGCTGATTTCGTTTTGTTTTCAGGACAAAATTTGTATGAAAGAAAATTTTTGAAAAATCCACGGAAAATGTCGGATCATTGAATGGTATTTTTATATGAAAAAAATTGTTATTGTTTGATATAGCTGAAATTTCAGGCTTTATTATGTATGCTACAAGGCATAAGGAAAGATATTAAAAATTTATCTTCTAAGGAGGTGAAAAGGGTTGGCAAAGTTTGTGTGGAACTTTTGTGTTTTAATGTGTATTTATACTGTTTATTAATCAAACACCTATTCCCGCAATTTAAAAACTTCGACCCCTGAAAGGGGGTGAAAAAGGCTTGCAACGTTTGTATGGGACATATTTTATTTGTGGTCGAATTTTTCGGCATTTTAAAAAATTAATCTCTGAAGAGGAGTTAAATTCATTTGTGATTGGATTTACGTAAAACATGGTCTTAATGCTTTTTGATACAATTAATGAAACACATACTTCGGCAATTTTAAAAAATTCAACCTCTAATGAGAGTGAAAGGAGGTTACAACGTTTATATGGGACATTTTATTTGTGGTTGAATTTACTTGAAAGATGCTCTTAATACTCAGTGATTCAATTAAACAAACACCGTTAAAGAGTGAAATGGGTACAATTGCTACATTACATAAAATTAAAACTTTGTAGAGTTAAAAGGTTTTATAGAGAAATAATGTTAATTTCCGCGAACGAATCCCCAGGAAAAAGCTAGTTACATATAAATATCATTTCTCATTTTTATGCTAAATAACTTACTAACACACCTTGAAATATTTTAATATCATCCAATCAACCGTTTTATTAATATTGTCAAATCAACGGTGACTGCCTTTTTAGAAGTGTTATGAAACAAAGTAAACATTGAATTATTAAATGAAGTAAATTAACTTACTGGATTAAGTACAAATCGGGGCCCAATTTCAGTTAAACCTCCATCTTCTGATAGAATTTGAAAATTCCTAAACCAAATTCTGTTATCAAGGATGGTAAAAGTATACACATGGTCAAAAAACGGTTGGCTTTTAGGATGATGTTTCGGAACACCAAATGTTTGAACTAATAATTCCTTCAAAAGCATCCAATGCGCTTTTTCATTGAATTGAGGATCAAAACTTAGTAATGGTCTGGAGCCTCTTAAGCAGTTTCCTGTTAATTTTAATTCAGCCATGGTATGCACTAAAAATAGTCATTATAAGTATTTCAATTTACCATTTGGGTAACATACCATTTTGAACCAAAAACTTTATACTAGGCCCATTTGGTATATTTGCCAACCACAGATACATATCTCGTTTTTTACGACCTTCAAATAAAATAGCTTTATTGCAATTTTTCATTTCACACATCTCATTAACTATTGCTAGTGTTTTTGAACGCTCCATTTTAGCTTCAGGTTTATGGTGAGGCATAAGTTTTTTTATATCTTCCATTAAATGTCTATCTCTATGACTTATTCCTCTGGATGCAAATACCAGCACTCTTTGCTTGTTGATCCATTTCCTCTAAAAATAAAAATATTAAATCAGTAACGCTGTAGGAAATAGTATGGTAAAGGGTAGTTGAGAAATATAACAAAGATTTAGCCACAAAACACTTGATTTCATTTAAGGATTAGAGTAATTATAAAAAAATAGAAATTAATGGATACTTTTAAAGAATGCTTGCATATTATAGTATTTAAAGTAACTGTTACATATACTGAAAGGAAAGAATGTATTTCTTTATCACATACCCACCTATGAAATTTTTACATTGGAATAACTGTTTCAAGTTTATTAAAGCTATTTTCTCCAAATTTTATCATGTTATGGAACAAGTATGAATATTACCTTTTCATATGAAGTTTCTAATATCTTCTTTTTAGGAGGCATCAGTGTTTCTACCATCTGACTATCTTTATCTTCTTCATTTAATTTTCTTTTGACCTTTCTAACCATTTCTTTTGCTTTAATGAGATAGTGCACTTCCTATAATATTTATAAACATAAATAATAACCAATAAGCTGATTTTTATTTTACAATATTAAAGTTTATCTGACTTTGGTAGAGATACTTCATTATTTTACTATGCGATGTAGTTATAATAAAAATGTTACATAAATATTACCTGATAAGCAACAAAAGAAACATAAACTTATAAATAAATTCGTTTTCAAAAAATTAAATGGGTTAAGTCCTTAAAAAGTAAGGTTATGCAGCATGGACACACAGACACTGTTGCATAAAAAATACATTAAGAATGAGATAGATAATCTTCAACCGAAAGAATCTGCATTAAGAAGGAAAAAGAGAGCAGATACTTAGTGAGGTATGAATATACTGTTTTTTTATTATTACGTTTATGTCAATTCTGTATCCTCTATGGTGTAAGTCAAATTATGGTTACGGCCTAGCATCGGCCAAGTTCAAATTTGGTTCATATTCACAGGCATAGATAAATATTCATGGATGAAGTGGTGGATCATTGGTGAATTTTATCTGAGTTACAAGTTTGTCATTGTGTGGGAAAGTCGTTGATATTTGTGCAACCCATTTTACAAAATCTTTAACCGCTGCAACACCGCCATCTGCCAGGTGTAGTCACTACTATTTTGACAGGAGGAGTTAACACCGCATGGGCCAAGTTCAAATTTGGTTCATATTCACAGGCATAGATAAATATTCATGGATGAAGTGGTGGATCATTGGTGAATTTTATCTGAGTTACAAGTTTGTCATTGTGTGGGAAAGTCGTTGATATTTGTGGAATATTTGAATTCTTTGTTCCTTTTAATTTTTATTTTTAAACTATTTAATTGTCATATTTAAAACGCATGTCTGACGGAACAAGTGCATTTTCGTATTTATAGATCATCAACAATGATACAGTAAGTGCTTTTCACAAGTCGATTAATTTCCTCTCGTTTCTGTACCTTTTGTATTACGTAGTGGACGTTAGGCTTTTCTATTATATTTTAATGTTTTGTAGTGTGGTAGTACGTATGGTAACGTTGAAATAAGGTTAAGTTTACAGCTTCAAAAACTTAAGTCTTGGAAATGAACTTTTTACAATTCAACACTCTTCTAATTGTGATATTTTGTTTATATTTTAGGATATTTAACCTTTTTCAGAATATAGGAAAACAAAAATATTTCAACAGTAATTGTAGTTTGCACCAATTTCCATTAATGATTTCTGTGTAAAGATCTAATTGTTAGTTCATATTACTAATATTTAGTTGAACCATATCCAAATAGATCCAAAAGGCATATTTCTCTTATATGTTAAAGTATACCAAGCAAGGGCTTTTGGGTTAACGAAAGAAAGAATAATAGTATACTTGTTCATCTTGTCGTGATTTATTAATTTTTGCTTGGTTTGTAAATGAAATACTGCTTTCATTTGATCATGAGTATCGTGTTCGCGAGTAATGTAACTTGCAGAAAGATGTCTTCCAGTTTAGTTAATATTTATGAGAAATCTACCACTTTATTTATTTAAGACTGTCAAAAGAACATGATGTTCTGCTATTTGTAGACTACAATAACGACTGAAGATTACTTAATGCTTTTTTTACATAGTTGTACTCCTCTCAGCCAATCCAATAGTTGTAAGGATGATACGTTTGTAGTTTTACTACATTAAAAAATTTTAAAAATTCATTTGCATGAAGAGAGGTCCATTATCACCTATTTTACATTGTGGGAGGTCCCATACTACAAATATGCAGGCAATACCTTTTTTTTACCCTTACTGATGTTCATAATTCTATTGGAATGACCGTTAGCCATTTAGATAATGAGAAGCAAAATATGGAGGTCTGCTTTTTGATTTGATAAAAATCGATGTAAACCGTTTCTCATTTTTATTTTATTTTGTATAAAATTCAGTAGCTTTTGTCAGTTAAAATGCTGTAATAAATAATTAAATTGAGAATTAAAAAACAACTTTTGAGTTAATACAATAATTACTTAATGAATTTTGTTTTTAATAAATTTTACCCATAGCCTAGCCTGGCTACCTGCTAATTGGATACAAAGAAAAATTTTAGGGAAACTAATTGTATGTAATTATATATTTTTTGAAAACAGTATAGGTACAGCATGTTCTATTTAAAAAAAAAAAACATGTTTACGTCATAACAAAAAAAACAGGTGTTAGAAAAAAATATGACTACGTCACACTTTTCAATTCCACCCTATATTCCAAAAACCAAAAGGGATATGAAAATTCTGCTGGCGTCATTATTAATTTCTCAAAAAAGTAACACACTGTAACCCTCTATTTTTAAAAGTAAGTGAGATACCCCGCAAAAGTTCCGAAAATGGGATACCCTGTAGTGTAATAAGAACATGTAAAAATCAGAAGCCCCAGAAATGATCTTATTTATCTTAGTTGGTGATTTTACTTGAAGAATCGCTTCGGTTTTGATTTAGATGGCTTAAGACCATTTTCTGTAGTTGTGAACTCTAGCTAATTTATTTATGATTACCTGCTCAATCTTTTTAAAAACTAAGTATTACTTTTCTGTCTCTGTATCTCATACCTCTACATTTGTAAGTATATTTAACATCTTGTCCCGTTTAACATTGTCAAAGATTTTTCTAAATCTACAAATCCTATGTAGGTACGCACTCTTTCCTTTTTCTACCATTTTCTGTATTGTTATCCGCAAAGCTAGAATGACCTCCTGAGTTGCTTTATTTCTTCTAAACCCAAATTGATCTTCCCCTAATAGTTCTTCTGCCCTTTTTTTCCATCCTATGTACAATGCAATCCATCCCAAAAATTTAATAAATTCCTTCTCTTTCCGAACTGGTCTTGCAAATCCAATGGCCGGTCAAACGTCTTTTTAAAGACCATGACTATTCCGCGGCCCGACAGCAAATCAGTTTTGTAGACTTTCAGATGTGACTTTAAATCGGGTTTTGGAACACATGCTCGGTGTAGCCAGAAATTCCTCATGCTGGAAATCGAGTTTGTATAATTCTGATCCGAACATCTTTGTGATTGTCGCCAGCGTACGGAGCCAATCGGTTAAAATGAATGACTTTCGATTTTCCATTCGGTACACGTCTAATCCGTTAGATGACATCATTTATTCGCTTGAGGACTTTGTATGGACTTTCCCTGTGCTGTTACAGCTTTGGTGGTAAACTACTCTAGTGCTATACCAGGTCTCCTTGTGGGAATCCTCCATCAGTGGCCTTTATGTCATAGGTATCCCTCACGCGTTCCGTAGCTATTTGCGTGTGGGAACGCACTTTTTCGTGGTATCGTCAAGTCGTTTTCAAAGTTCACGTAGTCTTCTCCGGCATCCTCGTCTGGTTTGTTGTCGTTGCTGCTCTCGACGAAACGGTACTTTGGTGTACCTGTACAGTAGTTTCATGAATCGACGATCGGTCTGTCATAAAAAACAATAGCACATAACGATCCTAGTCTCTCTGATGTTTGGAGACTGTCTTGGATAAGTACCTACTTGTTACAGTGACCCTGTTCGTTCGCTCCACCATTTCGTCCGATTTAGGATACTGAGATGTATTCCGGGATTTGTGAATTTCTAATATCTTACAAATGTTCTAGAAAATGGCGAATGCAAAGTTTCGACACAGGTCAGAATGGAGTTCATTGGTACACCGAATCGATGAGCTGTTCCGCTAATGTGGTGACTGTCTGGTTGGGAAGTGCGTATTCTCAAATGGACTGCTGACACTATACTGGCGCAAAAGAGCACACTGTCGTTTTTGTGGTTCCTTATCGACCGCGCAAGTCGTACATTTCCTACTCCTATCTTCAACATCTTTCTTGCAGCTGACCTAGAAAAATCGTTCACGTGACCTTTGAAGGTTCTGGTCAACCATAGAATGACCTTTTTAACAGCAGTCATTAAGGTACCTCTTTCACCAAACTTCACGATATGGTGATTCTGGTTTCCTACCACCCGCTTGAGAAGATTCTCTTCAGCAATAGAATCGCCTTGGGCCCATAACGATTTCACTTCGGTAGATTTAGCAGCCACTTTTTGTCAGGCCGGTCGTCTTCCTTCAGGTTTCTATTCCCGGTGCATTCTTAGAACCAAGTCTAGGTCTTGTTCTATCTTAATTTTGTCAGTATGCCATTGCTCAAACAGTTATCCGTCTAACTTCTTTGTGCTCCACGATGCGGCCACAATGTTTGCAATTGAGTGTGCCTTTCGGGGGTAAAGTGTCGGCATTCTTTTGGTTATTTCTAACTGGGTGTTCTGTATCAAAAATGTATTCTTGTTGGAATAGTATACGTTTGTATTTTTGTGATCTAAAGTTGAAAATATCATAGGCAAATGTGTCCATATATTGTCGTTTTTCGTTGTACAGGGTGTTTCTGAAATAAGTGGCATCCTTGCAGGAGGTAATAGGGCACTATAAAAAAAAGAAAATTAAGTAAATGTTTACAGGTCCGAAAATTCACCTTTTGAGAACAGCGTAGTTGAAAATACAGGCAAATCTAATTCCGGCCTCGGAGTCAAATACGACAATAAAACGCCGTATAATAAAGACGAGACGAACAAGTCTTGCGATATTTATCTCGCATTTTTGCAAGCTTTCACCTGTCTTTTGCTGGCTCGAATTTTGTAAAGAAAATAGTATGTCTTCACATCGTGGGTATTTTTGATATAACGGGATGCTCTTGCTCCTGGTTACTTCAATAACAGTTATACTGTCCTGCTTCCTGGAAGCTAGTTATCGATATTTTCTGGAAAAAATGTCTTCAAAAACTTTTCTTCCAGCTCTTTCATCCGTGTATCCATTTCTTTAATTTGGATTTCAAGTTTATTTTCCGTTTCGGTCAATTTTCCAAGTAATTCTTTTATTGCTGTAGAATTTGTTTTTTTCTTCAAAATTTTGTTCCAATTTCTAATTTATTTGTATATATTATTCGATTCATTTTTGCGCAGTAAACAAGTTTTGTAAACAATATTTTCGAAGAAGAAAAAAATAGTGCCAAAGACTGTATGCATTACTCTGCCTAATAGGAATTGTGTAATTTGAGCTTGTTCGCTTATAAGCCTTATAATCTCTTTATTCGAATCTTGAACCACTGAGATAACTTCGTTATTTTCATCTACATTGCTGAAGGTTGTATGCATTACTCTACCTAATAGGAAGAACCATGCTCTATGCCGCTTGCGTAATTTGAGCTTGTTCACTCATAAGTCTTAAAATCTGTTTATTCGAATCTTGAACCGCTGGAATAATTTCTTTGTAGTTATTTTCGTTTATAGCGTCAAAGGTTGTGTGCATTACTCTGCCTAATAGGAAGAACCATGGTCTATGCCGCTTGCGTAATTTGAGCTTGTTCGCTCATAAGTCTTAAAATCTCTATTCGAATCTTGAACCAATGTGATAACTTCGTTGTAGTATTGTTCCTTAGCTTTGTCCATAATGCCAAAGGTTGTATTCATTACTCTGCCTAATAGGGAGAACCATGCTCTATGCCACTTGCATAATTTGAGCTTGTTCGCTTATAAGTCTTAAAATCTCTTTATTCGAATCTTGAACCAATGAGATAGCTTCGTTGTAGCATTGTTCCTTAGCTTTGTCCATAATGCCAAAGGTTGTATTCATTACTCTACCTAATAGGGAGAACCATGCTCTATGCCCCTTGCGTAATTTGAGCTTNGAAATTGGGGTAAATATTTCCAGATATCTGTAATGATTTTAGTTGACTCCTTTTATCCCGAAGGTGTTTGAAAAGTGGTTTACTTTCTTTAAATATGACGATTGGTATTGCTGATGAAGAGCTGGCTCATGTTGTGATAGCACATTCCGGTGGTGTTTAAGGGCGTAATTCGTACGATCCCGTGGTTACGGCACTGAAACAATAGTTTCGACGTTTGTTCGGTACTGA